TTTCTACGCTATGTGTACATAACGGTCGACATCTGTTAAGTTGCAGGACCAGATAAATTGCCGAGTGTATTAGGCAATTATTAATCCTCATATTTTTTTTAGAAGGGAAACGCTCATTAAATGGATTGTCTTAGCAAAGCCGATCAATTTACATTAACTTCGAGATATATAATTTTCTTTGGTGATGTGCTTAGCCGGTTTTAAAAACTATGTTTAAGACCGGTTTGAAGTCTATTTGGATGTTGATTTGTATCAACTATTTCGAACATAGGTCTAAATTCTTGACAAAATTGACGGTAACTGCTTGGTTGTACCGGTGGACGTATGTAACATATCGTGAAATCATCATTACTTTGTATCAGTGTAATTTTTTTTTTCGAATTACGAACTAAACTTGCAGGTATTGCAATACCTAAATTGGTTTTGCTATTGTCATTTCTTCGTCCCTGTGTAGTTGATGAAGTCTTTCTCGTCCCAGTGAAAGGTACACAAAAGTGCTTCACCTTTTTGTCGATTGGCGGAATATTACACTCCTCCTCCCTATAATGAAACCTGTCCTATTAAAGCTTTAACTTATGTGAAGCAAGTTATGGATCAATTTCAAAATCTTTAGCACAACTGTTATAAAAATCACTTCATCCAGGCCGAATCGAAAACTGTTATATGTTTTTAAAAAACTTTTGCAACTTACAAGTTACAACAAATAACAAACGTGATAAACTTTTAAGTACAGGGGTGGACTACCCTGACTTGCAACAAACTGCACTGAGGATCATTCTGCCTCAGATGTCTGCAGCTGTACTTAACCTATGCGAACATGCAGATTAAGTGTTTGTAAATCCATAGCGGTCAGGTGCATTCCTGATGCGTATTTCCTGTCAGCTGGTGGAACAGGCTGCGGTTCACGTTCGGCCGATGCTTGTGGTTCTGGCTGGTCTTTGGTTGCTGGAGGGATGACATTTTCCACGGCGGGTTGTTCTGGAAGTGGGACGGCGATAGCAGAGCCGAAGTCAATGTAGTCGGCCAGATTGTGTGACTCGTGATGTGGTTCATGTGGTATGCTCTCTTGTTTGCGAAGATGATCCACATGTCGTCTGATCTTGCAACCATTGTGAACTAAGCGGATTTTGAAGGAGACTGGACCAGCATAGCCTGTAATGGTGCCTGGTAGCCATAAGTAGCCAGTCTCAGTGAAGTTGCGAACTAGGACTGTGTCGCCAATCTCAAACACACGTGTCTTGGCGTGCTTGTCGTGATGATGTTTCTGTTTTTCCGGTTGTTTGATGACACGCTGAGCTACATCTGGGCAAAGCTGATCAAGGTGGGAGCGTAAGCGTCGACCTATCAGCATTTCCGCCGTTAGCTATTATAGTCCCCGCAGATTCTCACGGAGGACTTGTCTAGGACTGGAACTATGGGCGCCCACTCGGAGAACTCAACCGGTTTCATTATTTCTGCAGCTTGCAGACGGTCAAGTTCATTGTCCACCAATGTTCGCATGGCGTACGGTACTACGCGACCCGCGTGCTTTGCAGAATCGTGGTCTGACGTCCAAGGTTGTCGACGTAGATCTTGGCGGTTGTTCCCTTCACGGTACCCAACTCATCCTTAAATACTGTAGAATGAGTTTTGAGTACTTCCTCAACGCTAGTAGTAGTAGTCGTGTGCAGAATGTTGATTTGCTGCCAGTCAAGTTTAATTTCCTGAAACCAGTTTCGTGCAAGAAGGTTTGGTCCATCGCCTTTAACAACGAGTAGCAAAGGTTGAACATCCTTGCGTTGTAGTCAACTTCCACATTGAAGTTTCCGAGAACTGAAACTTGTTCCCCGGTGTAGGTGCGGAGTTTGAGTTTTGTCTTTTGCAGGTTCGCGTTTGGCCACCGTGACTCGAATGTCTGTTCTGATACAGGCGAAAGCGCTGCTCCGGTGTCAACCACTATGACGAGGTCGTTGTTGTCAACGGACATGGTGACTTTGATTGCCTTCATGCCCGGGCGGTCAGTGCAACATCCGAAGAGCGAGTACACCGGGGTGTGTTCATGTCAACATCAGACGCATTCGCATCGCTTTCAGTAAAATTACTGTCCACAGCGGCACTCATTTGCTAGACATGTGGTGTTTTTCTCCTGTATCATATGTTGTAAAAGCCGTGTACCTTCCACATTAATGCCAATGCAAATTAGGGCGCATTTGGTGCTCTACACAGGGTGGGGAAAAAAAAACACGAAATCGAGATATTATTGCTAATTGGGACAGAAGTAGGGCACATGTGAATCAAAGGAGATATCCTCTGTTAGGATTGAATCTCCTCTTTAAAATGACACCCTGATCATGTCCTTACCTTCACGGTTGACTGAGCAGTGACCAATTTTATGCAAGGCTGTATTTACAGGCCTGCGCCACTTTTCATGGCGATTACTTTTTTTCCTCACCTGCCTTAATTGGCAACCATAGCCTTTCACTCTTTGACAAATGACACCTCAAAAACCACAATTGGAAAAGTGGCGCAAGCCTCTAAATTTGTCACTGCTCAGTCAACCGGAGGGGTGGGGCGGCAGGTGTGTCATGGGGGTGGGGTGGGTAAATATCACCCACCCACCCAAGAAAACAAATGACAAATTGAGAACATACCATATAGAAAATACAAGGATTTGTGGGGGACGTGCTTTGCCCCCCCCCAAAAAAAAATGGCGACGCCCATCTTCGTGGGCTGTTCATGCAAGAACAACAGCCGAAGAAGTAACACAGTCCGAAAGCTTAATGACTTAATATTGGTAAGCACTGTTTTGAAATGGTCTGTGCTGTAAAGACTAAATGAGTTAGTTGCCAACGTACTAAACAACCGCATCTTTATTTTCAGAACGCGCGCGCTCGAATCGATAGATCAAGCAAGCGCAATTGCGTCACATTTCATAAAGGCACTGGCACGGCGAGTCTGATAATTAATTTTTTGTGAAGGAAGAAATTCAAGACAGCATACATTAATGTCAAGAACATTTTGTAATATGTAGGGGTGTTTAAGTAACATGTAGCTTCGATTGAAACACAAATGAATATCCAGCACGAGGCGGTTTTCAACAATGACCTTTGTAGCTTATAATGGATGCTGAAGAATTACAGTGGACGATACTTGTTCACCATTAATTATTTACTGTAATTAAAGAATACAAATATATTCTCTATTCCTTTGGATGATTTTCACGGAGTTTTTTTGCTGTAAGCCGTTGTTAAACAACGTCATTTAATAGGTTATATGGAGCGTTAAAGGTAGTACATGTATACAAGATTTGCAGTTGCCATTATTTTCTGAATTTGGAGTGTTTAATGTTTTGTGTTATAGACAAAACAAGGGAAAACACAAATGGTTTTCAACCATCACGCTGCAGCTTTCTGAATGCGTTTTGCTAGTAAAATCCAATGGAAATAAAATCCGAGTGTACCGAACGTACGCAAGAGGTCAATAGGTGGCTTATTTGAAGAAAAAATCACCCAATGAGCGTTTGTTCGGAAGATCTTTGCACAATGAATTCAAATATCTTAAAATTAATATCATACCGGGCGAAACGATTTCACAGAATGCTTGGTGTTATTATTAACCAAGCTAGCTGTTTCATTATAATTTCAAAATTTCATTTTGAGATTTGTGCAAATGTTGTCAACTGCCTTTTAGGATAGTTGAGTAAATTCACACTGTGGCATCATTGTTATATTTTAAAAAAAAAATGAGATTTGTAATATATTATGTAAAACAAAACTAATTGCTCATGACAAGCAAGAGTGTGTAATTACTGGCCAACACTTAGAAAAAATTGAAATTGGAACTTGATATCTGAAGTTTATTCCATGTCGAGTATAACCTTATTCTAGTAAAAATGAAATGCACATTTTAGTTATTTCGACAATAACCCAGACTCTCGTGTATGTGTATGGAGTGCCATATCCAACAAAATACGACTATTGCTTTATTTCATAAACATTCACACTTTAGGCTGTACAAAAACTTAAAATGTAATAGTCAGTGATCATCATTGTCTTGAAAACTGGATGCAAAAATGCAGTTGGTTCACTTTCTTAAAAAAAAAACACCACTAAGCACCGTGTGCCTATTATTACGGAAATGACTCTGAAATGGCTTGAATGTTAATCCTCGGGTTAAATTTTTTTAACGTGGCTTGGTCAAAACGAGAAATTATTGACGAACAATAAAATCCAGTTTTGAAACCAATCCGACCTGGTTTTTTTCCCTTCTTTTTATGCACGCGTTTCTTCTTCTTGAATACTTATTCTCATGCGCGCCATGCCTATTGTGTTTGACATGAAAGTGAACCCACTGCAATTTTGCATCAAGATCGAATGACAGTGGGGCTCAGTGATGCATGACCCTGGAAATGTAAACAAGGTATCATTGACAAGCATAGAGATTACGCTTTCAGATGACAACAGTTTTATAGGCAGTAAACATTTAGCCTGTCCATACTGGTTCTTCAAATCTTGTGTTGACACAGCGTGGTGCTGGTACCTCGGATTAATCCGTAACGCACCGTACCGTTGTGAAGGCAACGTAACATATTATACATATTACTTTAGCGGTTTTTCCCCAATTCTGCACTTTGTTTTCTAGTTAGGAAATTCAGGACAGGGTCGGCAGCATAGCAAAACATGCCTCTTTTCTCCGGTCAAGAGGCCAAAAAAATGGTTGGTCGGAAATGAGAACCACAGAATTAAAAAGCGACGCGCTAATGACTATAGTAATACAAATTATTAATTTCGTAAGGACGCCTACGATTGGTTGTCACAGTTTTGCCTTGGCGGTGGAAGTCAACCTGAACGTCAATTTAATGTACAGCAACGTATGCCTCAGCATTGCTGGCCTAAAGTGCTCTTTTAAATGGCGATTAGAGATATTGCTACCGCTGTAGAACATTTGCGCATTCGCGATCCTTTACACATATTTATCAGCCAACGATGCGGATAGAAATACAACCATCAGACATCACAAACATGGCTGGGCTGTTGGATGTATCACGTTATGGCTGGAATGTCTACATTTGCCGGCTGTTGCTCCCGGTGATGTTTGCCTGCTGTTGCTTTCAACAAGGTAGCTGCGATCTTGCAGGTAGGTAAATTAAACAAACAAAGATATGATTTTCGCACCGGGGCGGAGAAAAACGGGTTAAAATGTGCAATGCAATTCCTACAACTTTGTTTCTAAGTCCCGTAAGAATTGCATGAAAAGTGCAAAACAAGTCTTTGTCTTGATATATTGCACTTTTATTAAAACCGGAATTAAAAGTCAAGCGGCTTCGGGCTCTCACTGCTCTGGAATTAATGTTGTCCAAGGCAATTTTTTCAGTATTATAAAAAAATCCTTTAACCTTAAATCGCTTTTAATGTGATAGCCTTATAATGTCATGAAGTCACATTTTTCCAAGTTTTTGTACTATTATGGTTACACCAGGTTTCATTTTTCATCCCTCAACCCGTTTCAAAGAAATTAGTTTTATTTTCAATTTCATTTTGAGAAATAAATTTAATACATAAAGAAGTCAAAATGACGTCACGGTAATATAATGTACGCTACGATTTCCAAGTTAATGATATGAGCCTTTTTTATCAATAGTTATCCGCTCGGGTGGAACCGTTATCCATCATAATAGTAATACGCCCATGCGAAATAGCATTCAGCCCGATCGGATTACTATTCCACCTGGACAGAAGAGTCGGCCGGGATAATTGTTTAGGCTTCCGCATAAATCGCCCAGGTTTTTGCCGCATTAAAATGTCAGCCCCTATCAAATCAGCGTTTCAAGAAGCCAATGTAAGGGGTATTAACGGTATTCTTCTCTAGTCTTCTTCATCACATTGCTTTTTTACATGTACATGCATACTGTTTTTTTCACCTACGAAGGAGAAGAGACGTCAAAATTAAACCGGGCCATATAGGGTCCCGCAAGACAAGATAAAAGATGCCGTATTTGTGGTTCTTGTGCATACAAGCCTTTTCTTTTCTATTCATCTGTTTTATAGGGAAAGGGCGTTAATGCCTCGCTATTAGAATGTTGCTGGTTGGAATAGGATGTTACAACTGATAATGTAATAACCAACGGATAATGAATCAAATTAGGTTTTGCCCTTCACCGACGGGCAAAACCTAATTTGATTTATATCACCCCGACGCAAAATTCCATCTTACAACGGATAATGATCACCGACCGGTTATGACCGATAATGTATCAACAATCAACTGATAGTGCAGTACATTTTTACTACACTGTCGGTCAATTTCTGTTACATTATCGGTTAGTGATACAGCATCGGTCAATTTGTGTGACATTATCGGATGGTGATACATTATCCGTTGGTTGTTACATTATCAGTTGTAACATAGAATTATTAGTGTCCAGTGCAACTATTCATTCGATGTACAAAGTGTCAGAATAGCAAACGACGAGAGCGCTGTAAAGAGCGGCTACGTCCACACGCATCAAACATGTTAGCAGATGAAGGCTTGTTCACACATAATCATGATAAAAGGAGGCAGGGTAATTGGGAAAAGTTATCAGTTTGTAGGTGCAAGCAGAAAATAAAACCGATGGCTACTTTGGAACCATTGTGACAAAATATGCAATCTGCATTTTCTGGTGGTTGAAAAGTTGATGGCCACTCTTGAACCACCGTGGCCACAAAAAAAGGAAACCATAGCATTGCGTTTATTGTGTTACAAACGTTAAAATAATCGGGACGAAAACTACTTCATTGGACGTTGTGAATTGTTTTATGTCTGAACAGGAGAAGAAACATAACATTCAGCTTCCCCATTAAAATATGTCTTTACAACTGAGTTAAAAATGCTTCTTTTTGATAAATGTCAGTACCTGTTATGTACACGTATTGTGTTACAAACGCCATAGTGAACGAGACGAAAACTATTTCATTGAACATTGCCTAGTTGTTAATCTTTTTTTTGTCTGAACAGGAACAGAAACATAACATTCAGCCTCCCCAGGAAAATCGCTTTAGTTGCGAACAAATGCTTTTTTATGATAAAATGTCACTACCTGCATTTAATATGTACACGTACACGTTATTTCCCACCTTTCCGGTCTGGTGACGACAGCAGTTAAAATGTGCAAACCGAATACTGATTGTTTTAGAGGTGGGAGAAAAAGCCCAGATGAATTATCTGAGGAAAGCCCACGTTCAGCTGGGTTAAACCATGGGCTCAATTGAGCCATGGGATCAATTGAGCCATGGGGTCAGTTGAGCCACCCCTCTATCTGGCCTTTGAGTTGGGACAGCATTAAAATACTGCCCGCTGTTTTGCCCTCCTTCATTAATTCCTTTTTGATGTGCATTAATGGCCACTTTTGTTAGAATGTGCACAGGGTGGGAAGTTAAGCTAATTTATAATGTTGTTTTCGTTGTACAAAATCATGCTATATTTGAATTTGCTTAATATTTAATATTTGCTTCAAATGGCTTGAAAATGTTCGTTGATTACATTGGCCTTAAGACAGAATATTTATAACTTCCGACCATGTGACATCTTAGACTCCAGGCAAATTGAACCGAAAATGGCGCAACTTGCGCCACTCGCAGTCTGCACTATTGTTTTAAAATACGTTCCGAAACAAAATATAACGGACTTTTACCACAATGTTTATTGCAAAATGGTTTGGTTGACTTAAAGAAAAATAATTCTTCTCGTCATCAGAAACCGATATTTGGACAGCTAGTTTCTTTTTTCGATTTCACCAAAGAAATTGTGCAAGGTCACTTTCAATTTTCGAATAGCGTGAAAATCCAGAAATATACGTTCAGAACGGAATATACTTATTTGTTGACAAAATTGTGTACATGCATGTAGATGTACAATGCGCATAGTACAATGTACACACATGTACATTCACCCACCTGCCCCATGGTACTTGTATGCAAAACCTCTACATATGCATGTGCACTGTTTTGTTGGACATGCAAAATTTAAGGATGAATTCTATTTTGTGGTCTTGTCGAAATTGGAGTTTACGTTTTGAGTCGATTTTTCGAGTTTGCATTTACTTTTTGAGCTTTCAGTTGAATTTGTCAGTCAATGTTGCAGCTTTTTACCCCTTGAAAGAGTAGCAACTCATGTTTTTAAAAGATGTTAAGTCCAAAACGTCATAGATTGCACCACATTCAGATGTCGTTGAGGGGGGGGGGGTCGCGTCAGAGGGAGGTAGAAGGCATGTGCTTTTGGTTTTTTTGAGGGGGGGGGGGTTCACGACTTTCGAATGTTATGGTTTTTTTTTTATATTTCCAGCAAGACCTCCATAAAAGGAAAGGATAAAATACCTTGGCTATTGTCCATTGTAAGTTGTTATCAAATCCCTGATTTATTTTCAGCCCTACCTATTCATCGGAAACATACATCACAGAGCACCGTATGGTCGCCTCATGAATCTTATCAGGCCATCGATGGACAGACGTATACCTTCTCGCGCACAGGTAAGAGCAATGAGAAATACGTCTGCATTTGCTATGACCCCATGTCATCATCTACTTCGTTTCTCTAGTCACCTTCGGCATTCTCAAAATCAATGACACAGTACCAACACTGTGCTTCTGCTTCCAATCTAATCTAATCTAATTTAATCCTGCACCATGTCCCAAAGGACGTTGGCTCCACCAGTTTTCGCTCTCTACTCATGTTTGTCTTGCGCTTTGCGGTGTTCTAAATAGAAGGCGCTGTTTAATGCTGTGATTTTCCCATCTCTTCCTTGGCCTATCCCGTCTATTTTTCCCAGTCACTGTTTCGATCAGGACTCGTTTGGAAACTCTGCTGTTTGCTATCCTCACTATTTTACCAAACCAGGCAAGTTGGATTTATTTATATGAATAAGGTGATTAACTCCGGTGGATTGCCGGCAGCCGAAATTCTGCTCCACACCTCGTCATTTCGCACCTTGTCTTGGCAAGAGATGTTCAGGGTTTTGCGATAGGAGTGCATCTTTTTCAGCCGTCTTGATAGTCCAAGCTGCTGAGCCATATAGGAGAACAGAATGGACGAGTGCATTTACAAGACGCAGCTTCGTTTTCTGTGAGACATCTTTGTCTTTCCAAAACCTCTTAATACACATTTAACAAAATGGCCGACTGCAGGGTTGTCAATGCGGGTGGGGTTTGGCAAAATGTTCCACTCCCACTCAAAATGTTCCACTTCTTGCTACGCCCATGGCTACTTCCCTTCAACCAATCTCCATCCCTATACCCATCCCTATCCCCATCCCCATCCCCATCCCCATCCTTCTCCCTATCCCCATCCCCATCCCTATCCCCATCCCCATCCTCATCCCAATCCCCATCCCTATCCCAATCCCCATCCCCATCCCAATCCCCATCCCATCCCTATCCCCATCCAAATCCACATCCCCATCCCCATCCCCATCCCCATCCATTTCCCCATCCCTATCCCAATCCCCATCCACATTTCCATCTCCACCCCCATCTCCATGCCTATGCCCATCCCTATCCCAATCCCATCCCCATTTATATCCCTGCTCCCATCCCTACCCCATCCCTATCCCCATCCCAATCCTCATCCATATCCCTACCCCATCCCCATCCCCATACCCATCCCAATCCCCATCCCTATCCCCATCCCCATCCCCATCCCTATACCCATCCCCATCCCCATCCCCATTTTCATCCCTATCCCAATCCCCATCCCCATCCCCATCCCTATCCCTAGCCCCATCCCCATCCCCATCCCCATCCCCATTTTCATCCCTATCCCAATCCCCATCCCCATCCTCATCCCCATTTTCATCCCTATCCCAATCCCCATCCCCATTCCCATCCCTATCCCTATCCCCATCCCCATCCCCATCCCCATCCCTATACCGATCCCCATCCCCATTTTCATCCCTATCCCAATCCCCATCCTCATCCCCATCGCCATCGCCATCCCCATCCCCATCCCTATCCCCATCCCCATCCCCATCCCTATCCCCATCCCCATCCCCATCCCTATCCCTATCCCATCCCCATCCCCATCCCCATCCCAATCCCAATCCCCATCCCCATCCCCATCCCCATCCCCATCCCCATCCCCATCCCTATCCCTATCTCTATCCCCATCCCTATCCCTATCCCCATCCCCATCCCTATCCCCATCCCCATCCCCATCCCCATCCCTATCCCCACCCCATCCCTATCCCCATCCCTATCCCTAACCTCATCCCCATCCCCATCCCCATCCCCATCCCTATACCGATCCCCATCCCCATTTTCATCCCTATCCCAATCCCCATCCTCATCCCCATCTCCATCGCCATCCCCATCCCCATCCCCATCCCCATCCCCATCCCCATCCCTATCCCCATCCCCATCCCCATCCCTATCCCTACCCCATCCCCATCCCCATCCCCATCCCAATCCCAATCCCCATCCCCATCCCCATCCCCATCCCCATCCCCATCCCTATCCCTATCCCCATCCCCATCCCCATCCCCATCCCTATCCCTACTCCCATCCCAATTCCCCTCCCCATCCCAATCCCTATACCGATCCCCATCCCCATTTTCATCCCTATCCCAATCCCCATCCTCATCCCCATCGCCATCGCCATCCCCATCCCCATCCCTATCCCCATCCCCATCCCCATCCCTATCCCCATCCCCATCCCCATCCCTATCACTACCCCATCCCCATCCCCATCCCAATCCCCATCCCCATTCCCATCCCCATTTTCATCCCTATCCAATCCCCATCCCCATCCCCATCCCTATCCCTACTCCCATCCCAATTCCCCTCCCCATCCCAATCCCTATACCGATCCCCATCCCCATTTTCATCCCTATCCCAATCCCCATCCTCATCCCCATCGCCATCGCCATCCCCATCCCATTCCCTATCCCCATCCCCATCCCCATCCCTATCCCTAACCTCATCCCCATCCCCATCCCTATCCACATCCCCATCCCCATCCCTATACCCATCCCAATCCCCATCCCCATTTTCATCCCTATCCAATCCCCATCCCCATCCCCATCCCTATCCATAGCCCCATCCCCATCCCCATCCCCATTTTCATCCCTATCCCAATCCCCATCCCCATCCCAATCCCCATTTTCATCCCTATCCCAATCCCCATCCCCATTCCCATCCCTATCCCATGGTTACTTCCCTTCAACCAATCTCCATCCCTATCCCCATCCCTATCCCCATCCCCATCCCCATCCTTCTCCCTATCCCTATCCCCATCCCTATCCCCATCCCCATCCTCATCCCAATCCCATCCCTATCCCAATCCCCATCCCCATCCCCATCCCCATCCCATCCCTATCCCCTTCCCTTCCCCATCCCTAATCCACATCCCCATCCCCATCCATTTCCCCATCCCTATCCCAATCCCCATCCACATTTCCATCTCCACCCCTTCTCCATGCCTATGCCCATCCCTATCCCAATCCCATCCCCATTTCCATCCCTACTCCCATCCCTACCCCATCCCTATCCCCATCCCAATCCTCATCCATATCCCTACCCCCATCCCCATCGCCATCCCCATCCCTATCCCAATCCCAATCCCAATCCCCATCCCCATCCCCATCCCCATCCCTATCCCCTTCCCCATCCCCATCCCTATCCCTACTCCCATCCCAATTCCCCTCCCCATCCCCATCCCCATCTCTATCCCCATCCCTATCCCTATCCCCATCCCAATCCCTATTCCCATCCCCATCCCCATCCCTATCCCCACCCCATCCCTATCCCCATCCCTATCCCTAACCTCATCCCCATCCCCATCCCTATCCCCATCCCCATCCCCATCCCTATACCCATCCCCATCCCCATCCCCATTTTCATCCCTATCCCAATCCCCATCCCCATCCCCATCCCTATCCTTAGCCCCATCCCCATCCCCATCCCCATCCCCATTTTCATCCCTATCCCAATCCCCATCCCCATCCTCATCCCCATTTTCATCCCTATCCCAATCCCCATCCCCATTCCCATCCCTATCCCTAGCCCCATCCCCATCCCCATCCCTATACCGATCCCCATCCCCATTTTCATCCCTATCCCAATCCTCATCCTCATCCCCATCGCCATCGCCATCCCCATCCCCTCCCTATCCCCATCCCCATCCCCATCCCTATCCCCATCCCCATCCCCATCCCTATCCCGATACCCATCCCCATTTTCATCCCTATCCCAATCCCCATCCTCATCGCCATCGCCATCGCCATCGCTACCCCACCTCCATCCCCATCCCCATACCCATCCCCATCCCCATCCCTCTCCCCATCCCCCTCCCCCCCCCCTCCCCATCCCCATCCCCATTTCCCTCCCCCTCCCCCTCCCCATCCCCATCCCCATCCCCTTTGCCATCCCCATCCCAATCCCCATCCCCGTCCCCATCCCTATCCCCATCTCCATCCCAATCCCCATCCCCATCTCTATCCCCATCTCCATCCCCATCCCTATCCCTATCCCCATCCCCATCCCCATCCCCATCCCTATCCCTTCCCCCATCCCAATTCCCCTCCCCATCCCAATCCCTATACCGATCCCCATCCCCATTTTCATCCCTATCCCAATCCCCATCCTCATCCCCATCGCCATCGCCATCCCCATCCCCATCCCTATCCCTATCCCCATCCCCATCCCTATCCCCATCCCCATCCCCATCCCTATCCCTACCCCATCCCCATCCTCATCCCAATCCCAATCCCAATCCCCATCCCCATCCCCATCCCCATCCCTATCCCTATCCCCATCCCCATCCCCATCCCCATCCCCATCCCTATCCCTACTCCCATCACAATTCCCCTCCCCATCCCCATCCCTATACCGATCCCCATCCCCATTTTCATCCCTATCCCAATCCCCATCCTCATCCCCATCGCCATCGCCATCCCCATCCCCATCCCTATCCCCATCCCCATCCCCATCCCTATCCCCATCCCCATCCCCATCCCTATCCCTATCCCTATCCCTATCCCTATCCCCATCCCCTCCCCATCCCTATACCCATCCCAATCCCCATCCCCATTTTCATCCCTATCCAATCCCCATCCCCATCCCCATCCCTATCCCTAGCCCCATCCCCATCCCCATCCCCATCCCCATTTTCATCCCTATCCCAATCCCCATCCCCATCCCCATCCCCATTTTCATCCCTATCCCAATCCCCATCCCCATTCCCATCCCTATCCCTAGCCCCATCCCCATCCCCATCCCTATACCGATCCCCATCCCCATTTTCATCCCTATCCCAATCCCCATCCTCATCCCCATCGCCATCGCCATCCCCACCTCCATCCCCATCCCCATCCCCATCCCCATCCTCATTTTCATCCCTTTCCCAATCCCCATCTCCATCCCCATCCCTATCCCTATCCCAATCCCCATCCCCATCCCTATACCCATCCCCATCCCCATTTTCATCCCTATCCCAATCCCCATCCCCATTCCCATCCCTATCCCTAGCCCCATCCCCATCCCCATCCCTATACCGATACACATCCCCATTTTCATCCCTATCCCAATCCCCATCCCCATTCCCATCCCTATCCCTAGCCCCATCCCCATCCCCATCCCTATACCGATACACATCCCCATTTTCATCCCTATCCCAATCCCCATCCTCATCGCCATCGCAATCGCCATCCCCATCCCCATCCCCACCTCCATCCCCATCCCCATCCCCATACCCATCCCCATCCCCATCCCCATCCCTCTCCCCATCCCCCTCCCCATCCCCCTCCCTATCCCCATCCCCATTTCCCTCCCCCTCCCCCTCCCCATCCCCATCCCCATCCCCTTTGCCATCCCCATCCCAATCCCCATCCCCATCCCCATCCCTATCCCCATCTCCATCCCAATCCCCATCCCCATCTCCATCCCCATTCCCATTTCCATCCCCATCCCCATTTCCATCCCCATCCCCATCCCCATCCCTATTCCCATCCCCACCTCCATCCCCATCCCCATACTAATTGCTCTCACTCCTGTGCCCCTTCCCTCCCATGCTGTCCCTATGTCAGTCCTCATGCCCACCCTCCCCTTCCTAATCCCCTGCCCTTGCCTCTCCGACCGCTCGGATTTAATTATAATTTACTGATTTCGTCCGGTGTGGACCTAATAAATCGCTGGAGATTCCGCCGTGTGTCGATGTAGACGCCGCCATCTTTAAATGTATATCTCTGTAAACAAACTGCTCACAATAACCTGCAGCAGACCCCGGCGAGACGGAAAGCCGCTGGCAGCGGCTCAAACTAGGGTCAGAGGTTATACGATATAAATTGTGTAGACAAGGCACACGTCATGGGGATACCCTGTTTATTCACGACGACGTAAACCGAGCCGCTGCCAGCGGCTTTCCGTACGACTTGTACAATTGTTGTGTGCTGCTGTATGCGGCTCGCCGTAGCGAAAGAGTTGATGTGTCAGCTCATGGCAGTAAGCCAGTGAGCAAACTTTTCTCTCAAATGTCTTCAATGAACAAATGTTTGGGTTCATAATTTCAGCAGAAAAAAAACACATACAATGGACAATGTCTTACTGAAAGAACACCACTGCAAAATCACCCTTTGTTGTCTGGAAAAGCATGGAAAATTTGAAACGTTGAGAGAGGTGCTCTTTTTAGTAAAAGTAACCAGGGAACGTCAAGTAGTTTTCAGACTCATAAAGCGCGGTTCATACTCGGCGCAAAAGAGAACACAAATTGTGCCGTCATGGCAACTATTCACGTTTAAATTTGTAAAACATATTTCAACTCAGGCAAAGTTCGCAGCAAATGTTTCATGACGTCAAATTCGCTTCGCATTTGCATTCGCATGAAGTTTATGAACCGGAATTTAGAGGATTAGAAATAAGCACAAAACAAGTTCCTAATAAATATTCACTTCATGGACCCTTTAATATTCTTCCTTTCCTTCCTTCCAGATGATTATGATCCGCATCCTTGGTGGCTGCTTGACCTAGGTAGCAATCACAACTTGAGTAGAATCAACGTCACTCTCCGAAAGTATGGCGGGGGTAAATGTTCTCTACACTTCACCCCACGAATTATTATTCATTGAGGTTTTCTTTTTAGAAAGATATTTTTTTTGCAAAACTGTAATTTACAAAGTAGAACTGTCTTTTCCTCTCTAGGTTATCGTTTCACCGGGACGATAGTGCGAGCTGGACTGAGCCCCAACTTCACCGAGAACCTGCCGTGCGGCTCACCGGCTACCAGCGAACAGTCTCAGGATGGAGCCGAGATCCCGTTCCTGTGCGAGCCATCGCGGACGGCTAGGTATATCAGCTTGGACATCGATACCTCCATGCCCGGTGTGGATCCGAGAGAGGCATATTTGCAACTTGCCGAGGTGACGGTGGAAAACGTCACGTCTGGAGAGTGTGCTGGTAGGTGACATCAGTCGTTTGGTATTTCCAAGGTCACGCTTCAATAAAAAACAGAACTTTACAACCTACTTGCAAAATTTGCTTTGTGTAATTGTAATCTCCTCGGCCAAGGCGAAATAGGCAAATTGCTAATCTGTTAATTAAAAGACATGTGTTTTATAAGGTTGACAGTATAACCTAGGAAAAACTGTGTCAGGGACACAATTTCGTAGACAAACCAGACAAAGTTTTTTAGGGACAGAATGTCCGTCCACACCGGCATTGACATGATGTAGAAAAGGCCTATTGGGCCTTATGCACCAGTCGGCCCCGTTGAATTGAAATTGAGGTTACATCTAATTTTTTGGAACTTGTGAAGAGAAATGAAAGCAGTTAATTAATAATTAATTTCAGTCTGCTTTAATGAATAATTTAAAATGTGTAATATACACATCATAAAAGCCAGACTAAAAAAATGACAATAAATAAGGCTGCATTATGTCTGCATAAAGAGTCTGGCACCATCCAATTCAACAGATATCACTTAATGAAATGCATTCAGGGAATGGCCAACTCGTGCATCAGGCCCGTACATGTAGTTTACAATGCGCAGTGTAACCTCACATTAAAGATGTATTTTTCTCCACAATATTTTGTACACGTTCTTCTTCAAGCCATACACTTAACCAGAGATGGACCCTGATGATTTCCGTTACGATGACAACATCTTGCGTCACTACATATTAGAAGTGCATTTTGTTTCGAGTAGCTGTAATTTCTGAAGTACCAGTCCGATTGGGTTGAAACTTGGTATGCATATAGACAGGGGTGTGCACACGTGTGGTACATATGAAAATCAAGGTGATGTCCTCATGACGTCATCACATGTCATGTGATATCATATTAAATGGACAATTTTCTAAGGTCTATATCTCAAGAACCATAGACGCGATTTGCATGTGCATATACCGGGATGTATCATTGATAGAAATTAAAGTGACATCAGCATGATGTTTTCTATTAATGGCACATATCTACAGCATTATAATGTTCGATTTGTTTGTAACTTTACACCGAGATAATAATATACATTTAGATGGAAATTTAAGTGACTTCATGGTGTATTCATTGCGTCGGTTGTCATTGTTTAAATTGTTGTCAAAAACCTGATTCATTTCAGCCCTCCCTGTTTATGGGAAAAATACATCACAGAGCTCAACATGGGACGCTCACCCTTCTTATAAGGCTATAGATGGACGGAAATATACCTACACGCACACTGGTAAGAACAATGCGAATTATACCTCCGCGTTTGCTGTAACTTCATGTCATCGTCGAATTCGTCTCCCTCGTCACCTGCGTCATTCTCAAAATCAATGACTATGTACCAACTTTCTCCTCCCTCCACCATTTGCATCCTCATCAATCTCCTCAGTCCTCATTCCCGCCCCATGCCAACGTCCAGCCACCAAATCCCCCAATAATTCATTTTAATTCAATAGACATTTATTTACATTGGTAAGTTAATTAAACAAATGTATGGAGGCCAATTCACAGAAAGAAAAAGCGGAAGACAGTGATATAATAAATGCATTCAGAACGCCCCATTCTGACCCCTGGCCACTTTCAGATCCCCACCCCAAACCCATGCAGATCCCCGGCCACATTCTGTTTCCCGCCCTATCACCATACTGATTCCATACTGATCCCCTCCCCATACTGAAATATGTCACTATCATACTGATGCCATTCCATTTCCATACTCATGCCCGTTCCTATCGCCATACTGATCCACCTTCGCATCCCAATACTGATCCACATCCCCCATTTTCTTCCCCATACCAATCCATGTCTACATATCAATCCGGTCCCCATCCTTATACTAATCCCCACCACTATCATTATACGGATCCCCATCCCCATCCAAACACTGATCTCCGTGCGCATCTCCGTAATTTGATATCCTCCTCCCCATGCTGAACCTGTTCCAATCAGCATACTAATTCCCATTATAATCCCTATATACTTTTTCCTGTCCCCATCCAATACCCATCGCAACACTTATCAACACAGATCGCAATGTGATCCCCGTCCTCATACCCATCCTGATCTCCGTCCCCATTCCTTCACTGATCATTCCCTCACCTGATCAAGCAAATCTTCTCCTCTTCCGAATGCCCATACTTAATACCCATCCCAGGCTGATCCTCTTCCCCATCCCCATACTGATCCCCGTCCCTATCCCAAAACTTATCCCCGTCCGTATCCCCACACTGCACTGAATCCGTTCATATCCCCACACTGACCCCCGTCCCTATCCAAATACTGGCCCCTGTCCCCATCCCCATACTGATCCCATCACCCACTGACCGTTACCCCCAATGCCCTCTTCCCTCCCCTGCAATCCCAGGTCCCCTCTCCACGTACACCTCCTGTCCATCACCATCCCCCTTCACAATCCCTTTCCCTTGCCTCTCCGTCCCCATTTCCAATCTGATCCTCGTCCCCATCCCCATTATTATCCCCATCGCCCACTGATCGTTATCCCAATGCCCTCTTCCCTCCCTGCCATCCCAGGTCCCATACCCACGTGCACCTCATGTCCATCACCACGTACCTCCCCTTCCCAATCGCTCCCCATTGCCTCTCCGTCCCCATCGCCTTGCATCCCAACTGACACGATCGTTATCATTTTCACCATTGTTAGCTTTCGCCACCCTCAGCATCAACGTCACCACTTTGTTCGCAGTTGTTAAAAATACACAAAGTACATTTGAATTGAAAACATTTTCTTCCTTTCCTACATTTCAGATGCTAATGATCCGCATCCCTGGTGGCTGCTGAAACTAGGTAGCAAGCACTGCTTGGGTAGAATCAACGTCACCCTCCGAATGAATGGATGGGGTAAAATTGCTTAAAGACCAGTCACTTTGATATTGCAAATTTTTACTAATTTCAAAATGTATATGCATTCAAAATAATCTGTAATGTATACAAACTAAATCAGGAGATTTTGAGAATCATCCAGAGATAATTATAAATATCATATATATATCAGACATTCTGATAACCATGTCTGTACATAATACGTCACCGTTTTCACGAAGAGCCACATATGTCAAAAATTACCATTTTTTCGATTTTGATTTTTTTCCATATTTTGCTTTAAAACAATGTACTTAACCATTTTGACATGTTTCTGTAAGCAAAGCATCATTAATTTCCAAGTTACATTAATGTTGCAAGAGTCCAAAATCTCGATAATTGAATTTTGCGTTTTCACGAAGAGCCACATACATTTTGGCCCTTTGAACGCGTACAAAACCCATTTCACGGAAATACGTAAAAGTAGGTCAAATGAGATTTGCGTTTTCACGAAGGGCCACATATCTTTGTTACATTTTCAGCTGCGCGCGAGTACTCACGCGCGCCTATGGAAATACACATTGAACAGAAAGGGCCAATATGTCAGAAACCTGAATTGCGTTTTCACGAAGAGCCACATATCTTTACTAATTAAGTTTCACTAATTAACTGCTGATTTAAGTCTTGTTACTGGGTTCATGTAAAAATTCAGCTCACACAGAATAGTGTGATGGTCCTTGCTTCACAAAGTTGTTGCAAAGTGGTATTTTTTGCAGTTTTAAAATAGGAGAAACTTCTTTTGCGATTATCTCGAAAACGCTTCTTCTTCAAAATCGACATATGTGGCTCTTCGTGAAAACGGTGACGAATAAAGTTGAACTGTTTTCTCTTTTTTTAGGTTTTCGTTTCATCGGGGCGATAGCCCGAGCTGGACTGAGCCCCAACTTCAACGAGAACCTGCCGTGCGGCTCACCGGCTACCAGCGAACAGTCTCAGAATGGAGCCGAGATCCCGTTCCTGTGTGAGCCACCGCGGCTTGCTAGGTATGTCAGCTTGGACATCAATACTTCCATGCCCGGTGTGGATGCAGCACGTGCATTTCTGCAACTTGCCGAGGTGGCGGTGGAAGAGTACACGTCTGGAGAGTGTGCTGGTAGGTAGACTTGATATCAAGCCGGCAATCTGGCCGGGTTTAGTCCGCCTGCACCGCCGTGCAGCTCACTGCACCGTACCACCGGAGCTGACAACCGCACACCGTCTTAGTTTTACGTGTAGCGCGCGGTATGCGGCAACGATTCTAGTCTGATTCCCTGCCCCCATTGTCCTTTGGATTTCAAATATGGGGACAGGTAGCTAGCGGTGAATCTTTCATACATCAGGAGGCATCCCTCCTGATGTATGCAAATGTATGCATGACGAGTACAGGTCTGAATCCCGCCTCCTGAATTGAACATTACAACCGTAACGTTTGCCCGAAACAGATCCTTTTGCAAAAATGACAATAGCCGTGCCACCATTGTTCAATTTCGGATGTGATTACCATCGATTTTTTTTGCTGAACTCGAAAGTGTCTCTGACAAATATTAATAAAGAGAGGGAGAGAGAAAAATTACTGCTCAGTATTTAAAACCTATGCAGTTGAAAAAGTTACCTCCATGGAGAGTGGAGACACTGATGATTTTGCGTACTTTAGGTGGTAAGACAAGAGTGAGTTTTTCAAAAAGCGTGTGTTGGATCACCGTCCATGCACAGTGATTTGGAATATAATCATAATTCGCGCTAGGTACCGGTCTCCACATATTGGGGGGGGGGGGGACCAGGGAAACAGTCTACAACGATTCCTGCATCCTCGGTCCCATATGCGTGCTCAAAAAATTGAACGGAGAAGCATTCTGATTAGATTAGCTATAGGAGGATATGAATATTTATATTACACGTACCTAACATTGACGTGTCTCGATGTAGGTGGTGAATGTTTCACCAGTACCGGTGCCACACACATAGCCTGGAGCGAATGGAGTGCTTGAGAAGCGAAAGCTTATTCCTGGGCCGTTTGGAATTCTATGCATCACAGGGATATATTATGGCATGAAATAAGGTGCCGTAGACACCGAATGATTAGAAAACGCCGCCTAGCTAGAAACCTTAATTAGACCCCCAGGAACAAGAAAAAAACATGTTGGCAAAATACTGAGTGTTGCAGATGGCGGCCATCTTGAATTTCAAAATGGACGTCATTTTAGGATCATTTTCAACTTGTGAATGTCATATTATGAAATTAATCTTGGTGGCCTTACACCCCTAATTGTAAATATCAAGGGTTTAAGATTGACTGTTTTAATTTTCATCAGAAAACCAATGAATGACAGCCATCTTGCTTTTCAAAATGGCCGCCACGTTTTGTTCTCTGGCCGCCACGAAATGTTCTCCACGAAATGTTCTCCTTCCAATGTCTCCAAAAATTCGTTTGGCCAAAAGCACCTAAAATTTTAAACAATGAACCTCAAAATTGAAATAGCGATGTAATTGATTGTTTTATACATGTACAATGAAAGATATTATAGTTACAAAATTACCATAGAGGGCGACATTGTAGATGTGTATAGACTATATTTACACACGCAGCACATGTAATTGGACAAAAGTTTACTGGCATATTGAAGAAAAGTGCAGTGATGAAGAAGATGAACCACTTTAATCAAGCAAACAAGCTATATCAACTTTGGCGGGAAAGTCAGCGAGTTTGTCAAAACCACAACTGTGCAGTAAACCAACGATATATTCTTTACCAAGAAAGAGTCGAATTTCAAGACCAATGTATGGTGATAACAGCATTAGCACTGCAATCCAATAAATTAATATATTGCTTTCTTTTTTGGACGAAACATGTTTTAGTGTCATTGCGTTTAAATAGCAATATTCCCTAAACGGATTGAACAATTCCAGTATTTTTTTTAACCAAAAGTAGCTGATGAAATTGGCTCTCCGGTAATTATTATTTTTGGTGCTACATAGTTTTTTTTTGTTTTTTTTAAATATGAAACATATTTTTTGAGGTTTGGGTTCCGATTTTTGTTACTTACCCGTAGCTCGATCATACGAGCAGCATCTGACATTGGTGGTAAATAAAGTAATATGTAGTTAGGGCCCAATCTTAAGTACATCTAGTATTTATTGGTTTGACACCTTTAGGACATTTTGACGAACTTTATGTATGCTTTGGGCAAGGGCGGATCCAGAACACAATTTCTTTTGGGGGGGCCCAAAATCGTTTTGTGTATTCCAAAAAGTGGGTCAAAAAATTACGGCGTGGGGTTCGGGGCCCGCTTAAGGGCCCCAAATTTTTTTTGGATTCTCGATGCTCTGTGGTGCGATCTGAGGCAATTTCTGACCACTTTAGCCAATGTTTTGTTAGAAAAGATTGTTGTGTACTCATTGCCTGCCTTTATTGCGACGTCACATAAACAAACCAACAATTGGTTTCGGGGGGTATTTTTTTTTGGGGGGGGGGGGCCCGGATCCGCCCTTGGCTTCGGGTAGGTTTGATACGAGTTATGTTTTCAAATTTGTTTTCTTTTTCCAGCTCCTGGTTATTTGGGATGTTTTGGGGACGCTGAATATCGTTCCCTATCGGTCGGCCCAGCAGCCACAGAATATGAACAGTCGGTAGAGTGGTGCTTCAGAAACTGTTTGGAACCTACGGAGTATAAATATGCGGGAATGGAATACAAATACGAATGCTGGTGTGGGAATGACAACTACGATAAACACGGTAAAGAGCCGGATTCCGATTGCAAATATTTGTGCCCCGGAAACAGCAATCAGATCTGTGGAGGCAAATGGCGCATATCCGTGTACACAGGTGAGTAGAAAAAAATAACCAACTGAACACATTTTACAGTTCATTCAAATGTACTGTGGATTTTCATTCAAAGCCAGTTGACTACATCACAACTCCTCATAAATCCATCATAAATCATCCAGTCCTACGTCATGTCACAAACTATTGAAATAAAATGAGACAAGGGCATTCCTTTGTCAACATTCATCCAATGTTAAGTCCCAGTCACACATTCACGGTTTGTAGCTAAACGGATCTCCACGGTTTGAAATTCGTGATAAAGTGTGGGAGTACCGTATTCATCCTTGGTACATCCGTGGTTATACGTCATCTTCCTTGGGTATTCGTGGAAAGGCTACGGGAGTTTAAAACTGTTCATAACTTCCGTGGTAAACCGTCATGAACATTAATCCGTAGTGCAACCGTGGGACATCCGTGGGACAACTGTACTTAGGCCTAAAAAAAAAAGTGTTATGTTGGCGTAACCCGACCGACCCTAAAAATGCGGCCGACCCTGGATTTTTTTTTTTTTTTGAAGGGAAGAAATATAATTAAAATCTATAGAAATGAATTTTAAATACGTTTTGAAACCATTTCTGACCGTTGACGATAGCGCGCGTGGAACTTTGGAGTGCACAATGTTTTGCACCTTCCTCTCCATGACACAACGAACATGCAGAAATCGCGCAGGCCTACAGGCAGTGTGCGTGCGGAGATCGATGCACCATGCATGCATGATAGATGCACATGTACATGTACAGTACACGTGTAGCCTCGTCCTAGACTGTTGCACGGCGCGAACTGCTACATACACTATTGAAAATACTTCGCTATTTATTCCATGTTAAAAAAAAATAGTTCATTATAATATAAATTATTTTAATTAATTTTTCACTATTTTACACGATAACAATTGATATATATTTATTCTAAAAATGGTAAACTATTCTGTAACCCCGGCGGCCGACGCGACCCGGCCGGCCCTCGGCCCGTGGTTAAGGTTACGCGCGTACGCCGTCGCATCATGGCGCCCGGTACCGAAGCGTACAGTGTTTCCATCAAGGGCAAATGGGGATCTTCGGTCATTTTCGACCGTTTAATGCGGACAAATTTGAGTCTAGAGCTGGGGTAGCCCGACTGCGTCTGGCCGTACAGTACTATCGCAAGCTCTGTAGTACGAGCTTGCGATAGTACTGTACAGCCAGACGCAGTCGGGCTAGAGTTCGGGGTAATCGCCCAGAGCTGTGCCGATGGTGTAAAAGCGGGTTACACCGTGCTAAAAATACAAACTTCAAAGGAAGAATCGGGTCCATATAAAGATGTTGATGCAGATGAAACGGCTAACATTTTGTCTGATTTTGGATTCCGCTTTTTGATATGTACCTTTGGAAAGGTTGATGATGAGCCTTGTTTTCTTTTGTTATCGTGTACTTCACCGGCTTAATGTCATTTTCGTTGCTGGGATTAAAAAAAAAAAAACCGACCTACCTACCCTATTTTTTCTGGCCCGTTACGCCAACATAACTTTTTTTTTTTTTAGGCCTTATTCGTAGTGTTATTCGTGGCTTTATTCGTTCATATTGGAGATTCGTAGCTCATTCGTGGTAGAAATCTCTACGATTTCTCTACGAATTTCCTACGGATATGCCAGGATGTGCTAGAGTTCTGCTAAAGTTGTACTACAAATGTTTAAGCTTTATTCGTAGGAGAAACTTGGTCATCCGTGGCCCAATAACAGACAACCGTGACGTTAGCGTCATTATTCTCAGTAATACCGTCGATATTCTTCACCAATCTGTCCATATTCTTGACAAAACCGTGATGTATTCGTAGAGAAACCGTAGATCAGTCGCGGCTATCCGTTCTGAAATCGTAGAAGATTCTTAAAACTTCAATTTCTCCATTAATCTCGACGGTTCATCGTGATCGATTGACTTTTGGTAAACCGTGGATATTCACATTTCAAAATCGTAAATGTGTGACTGGGGCTTAACTTTTGGCCGGACTTGTGAAGTAGCTTGCGGTTTACTTGCGAACGGAATTGTGATTGACTCATCAACAACATGGATCTCCTCATCAGAAGTTCACAAGATACGTATTATGTTGTCTTATTGCAGTATCACAAGGAGTTTGTAGTAACGACATAGGACTCCCCAGCAACGGAGACCACACCATCACCAACCCGCGTTCACTGTCTTACAATCTCATCAACTTTAAGTTCTTCGGGACTCGTGTAGATTTCTCCTGTGACCCTGGATATACCCTCCATGGAGCATCCAGCATTGAATGCATTGAGGCTGGCTACAACAACGTCACGTGGAGTGACTCTGTACCAACATGTGAAGGTATGCAATATGTAAAATGCATTTACCTATCATAATCAAAACAGAGTGAAACTAGACTGAACTACACAAAGTTTGTATTCGAAATAAAGAATACTGACTTCTTCGATTCAGACCTAAAGGTTAATATAGTTCAATTGAACTTCATTGGAATGTACGTATGAAGAGGCTCGTTGATCACAATAGGCGTACGTATATAGAGACCGGGGAGCGATTTTTTTCCCAACCGACATTCTGCTTTCCATCTTCTGATTGGTCCATTGTATGCATATCTAATGCCTTGTTTTCCATAACACAAACCCAAGATAGGCTTAACGTCTTGCGAGAAATGTTCCTGCCACTTAACTTATTGAAAAGGCAAAATAAGAAGAAGTGCAAAACGCTGACTGGGATTCGAACTCGGATCACCTGATTAGAAGTCAGGACTTCTTCCAACCAGTCCACAAATGAGCTGCCAATCGTCGGTGATTTAAACACTATTATTCCTTGTTATATAATTTATTTTCTAAATTCCCTGGACTTTCACGAATATGCATAACACAGGGAGAGCGCCCTATTTTGATATTGTCAGATCCGGGAGCGTATTTTTTTTCATAGAAGGGCTAGGGCCAAGTCATGCATTTCCTTGAATCATTGCATGACACTTGAGGTTTTAGTTCTCGCTTTCTCTCAAATCAAAATTATCTTAAAGATCAATTTGGATAAGAAAAATAGTCGACGAAAATGAGCAGCGACGACGTGGATTCGAACCAGGTATGGTTGTTTCCATAGCTCATCTCGCCACGTTCCCAATAGGCTACTCTACCTACTAACAATGCTCTTGATATCGTTGTATTGTTCTCATGAATAAACATTCTGGCCAGATCGAAATTACTGAATTATTCATGATTTGGTCCCTACCGTCCTGGGAATAAGAAATTACGCGACCGAAGTGTTTGGGGGTTCACATTGGCTATTTCACAAATGATTTGCTATTAAGCTCTGTGGTGATTAAATCTCTATTTATTTTACATATACATGTAGATAATGTTTGTATCAACCCAAACCCTTGCCAAAATGGCGGCACGTGTATCCCACAGTCCACCGGTGATTTCTATAACTGTTCCTGCCCCGCCGGTTTTAGTGGAGGGGATTGCCAAAGTGAGTACATTGTCAGATTTTAGGCTTTGCATGGTGGGGTATTTGTATCACTCATTAGTTTTAGTTTTGTTCTAAAAGAACTTGTCTTTGGTCTCAACGTTTCGGCTAGCCTGCTTTAGTCATCGTCAGGAGGACAAGTTCTTTTCAGAACTAAAAAGTACCATGCTATGAAACTAGGGACAAATATGTGCAACAGTGATTGAAATAGTAGTTACTTTTCTTGAAATTGTTCAAGGCACCAAGTAGTAGTTTTTGCAGTTTTAAAATTGGAGAAACTTCTCTTGCAATTATCTCGAAAACGGTCTTTTTTAAAAATCCACATGTCCGTCCTCTTGTGATATAGTGACGATATATAAAGTCACTCGCGTAGAATTGTGTGTTTTGAGTGGGTACTTAATATATATATTCGAATCACCATCGGTCTGTCTTTTAAAGTTCACGACATCTCCAATCAGTTCATGTTGTCTCAGATAGCAAGACTTAGTAGTAATTTTAGAAAGCTTTTGTCCTCCCACCAAAACGCTAGTTGATTCAAAAACACTAATACTGTTAGAACAGAAATAAAACACACCGATAGCTTAAATATATATATATATACATTACTTACTCACTATATTTAACCAATTTTACATGTTATCACCCACATCATTTGCATTTGTATGTCTGTTTGAAGTACTTTGTTGAGTTCTCTTATTACACATTATATTCTTCATTTTTAGCGCATTAGGTATGTTAGCCACATAGCTTGTTTTAGCCATGAAAATAATCTGGTTCCTGTTCATACATGTGTACTTACTAACCTTGGTCTTTCCACTGACTATTTATATTGCCGAGTATGATATGCATTCATGTAAAAAAATCTTGTATAATTAGTCGTCATACTCATTCTAGAAAGATCCAAATCTCTTTGCTTCCATGTTGAAAGATTTAATGTGTGATGTATCGTGATAGATTTAGGTTGAATGAAATTTATGTTGACTCCGATCGTGGAGATAACCAACTTAATGAACATGAACTCATTTTGAGTCTCTAAAGTATCGTGTCAAATACGATTCGGATTCCTGATCAACTTTGACCTTGGACTTTTAAGAATGTACTCTAACCATTCAGAAGACAAGTTTAAAAAGAAGTTAAAACCAAGATTTAAAACTTATTGAAGGTGAAATGTAATCGATTATGTTTTTTGGGTTTTTTTCCTGCAGACGCTATTGCAAACACCACGACGATCAATGTTGTTGTTGTCATTGTCGTTGTCGTCGTCGTCTTGATTGTCGTGCTGGTCATTGTCGTGGTTTGCTTTGTCAAAAGGTCACGGCGCAAGCGCAGAGGCAGCCGGCTGTCTGCAGTCGATAGAGGGCGTGGACAGGAGCTCATCCAAAAGGTGCTGGGTAGTGTCTAAAGACGTCTTATTTTGTTTTTATCTATCTTGTATTACATCCGAAAAAAAGTGATGAGAAAATCACTGGTGACTATGCAGTGTCTAAAAAGCAGCTTCTAAATAATGACAGATTCTGTCTTTTAAGCCTGACGAGAAACTCAGACAATTTTTCAGAACGAATCAACGATCCCTTTTTTACTCTTTTGGGTCAAAATAACTCTTCTGTCAAGATTTCCGGGTCAAAATGTTGGAGTTTGAGGGGTGATGTGGTCCAATAGTTACGGTGTTCGACTAGTGTGTTGTGGTACATGGGTTCGAATCCTGACGGGAACACGGTGCTTGTGCTCTCAGCTTGAGCAAGGCGCTTTACCGTTATTGCCTCGTCCTTCGGATGGGACATGAAGCCGTTGGTCCCATGTGTTAAAGAACCCACGTTAAATGAAGGGGTTTCTTGCAGTTGCTGCCATATGCCACACAGCATTTAAACCTTTTAAAAGGTGCTACATAATGGGTCTCATATTTCTCATGAACTTCATTACCTGTCTTTAATAATAGTCATATTTACCAGCGCTTTGAGTACCTAATTGTTGGTAGATACCTTTGTAAATCTAGTCAGAATGTCGAGCAATATCTTATGTGATTATGCCAAAAGTTGTCACATTTTAAATCATCCTAATTATGCCTTGTCAAGACCAGTTTCCACTTTTTGAGAATGCACATGCCAGAGTTGAAATTGGTTCGACGCTTTGCGGACTCACAACGTAAGAACGTGCATGTCGTCAACAATTTCGCCCTAGAAAGTTCGATCTGACCTTGTTATTAACTCGGAAACTGTTTAAAAGCACAATGTCCGTTCCATTTTGACGATTTTTTTACCGTCTTGCAGAAATTGTCGAATGTTTATTTGATTGACACTCTCCAAGCATCGACATCGAAATTAAATGGACCGGCCAAGGAGTTCCCGCGGGACAAACTGCACATCCTCGGCCAGTTAGGCAGCGGCTCGTTTGCTGTGGTCTACAAGGCCGAGGCAGAGGGAATCATCCGTAGGGGAACCAATACGACGGTGGCTGTCAAGATGTTGAAAGGTACGGCATTTTCATAGGCCTAAAGTACTACACAGATTTGTAGTTATTGGAGGGACTTTGATAGTCTTTCATTGACTATTAATGAGATAACGACATTTGAACAGTTGACCACTCTGCAATATAGCGGGGTCAATTTTCAGTCACAAGCACTGTGAAGAGTGTACGCGAATCAAAGGTGGGCGGAGCAGGGGTGGAATATTGCAATATCCGGACCGGTCCATTCGAGTCAAAGCAAGCTTGTCGACGATGGTTGGACAAATTTAGTCCACTTTACGCTGAAAAAGTGCGACGTCACCCTCCCCCCCCCCCCCCCCCGTTGGCAAAGTTAGGACAATGTTCACGTACGCTTAACATATGTGGCGATCACAGACTGCAATTTTTTACTGTTTACTTTTATAGAACAGTTTCACAAATTCGCGGGTACTCTACCCGAAAATGATTCACTGCCTTTCAGTAGATTATCACCAAACCAGTCACACCCAGAGTTGTGCTTATTTTTGCCTCGAAATCCTTCTTACAAAATTGCACCTCAAACAGCCTTTTTTTTCTTCACTTTTCTGACACAAAAATACTTGTTCCTCTACTGTTTAGAATGTGCTACACCCAACGATCAGAGTGATTTCAAGAAAGAGTTGCGACTGTATTCCATGTTGGACCGACATCCCAATGTCCTGTCTATGCTCGGATACTGCACTGATAAAGGTACAATTCGAATAATGTACCAAAAAGTTGCATCTCCAATTTGATGAGTTTCGATAAGTTTTGAAAATTGAAACAATACGGGTTGAAACCTGACTGCAATTATGTCTTAAAGTGGCCGACCTAGTGAGTGAGTGTACATCAGGGTGAGTCAAAAGAAAAGGAAACCCAAATGATGCCCCCTATTTCTAAAGAAGTTCTGCATCTATCGCTTTCCAGATATAGAATATGAAAGCCTCACAAATAAACTTTCTTTTCGTGAAAATAAATTAATTAAAATCGCTCATGTACTTTTACAGTTTTGGAATTTGGAACATAAACACCGTTTTTAACCTTGTCCACGGATCTCATTTATGGTATGCGTGATATTCCATTAAAAATGAAACCAGTCGTATCCTAAAATGCCATAATAATCCCATAAGTCTCTGTGGTAGCCAAGTAGAAGGCAGGACAAGACTATATAAAGCGTGCTAAGACATTATAAAGCGTGTGGCTTTTACATTGAAAGCAGCAGGTGTTTCTGAAATTAACGTTATGATAAGTGCCAATTATCATGGCTATGAGAGTGTTCTGATGTGCTTTTGATATGTGAAAAGTTTTGTTTTGCTGAAATATCACTTCCTTTGTTACTGATTCTTTCAAAAAACAATTGGAACACCCGTTTGGGTTCCCTTATTTTTTGAATCACCCTTTATTATACCCACAAAGTTAAAGTGAACTTGCCTTGACTGCCATGCTAGGCGTCTCATTTTGTGCATACTATCCGAATCAAGTTGTGAGTGAGAGCGGTTTTGACAACTCTTCGTCTATTCCTGCGAATTCACCAAAGGCGTAGCGCCCTCAGGTGGCATACATGCAGACGAGATGATTTGTACTTTTAACTAATTTTTGATGTCTTTCCCTCCAGACCCGATGTACATAATCCTGGAGTACGTTCCCTATAGAGACCTGCAGACCTACCTGCGACACATTCGGACGGGCACCGAACCCTTCTACCTGAAGAAAGAAGAGTTCAAGGAGAAGAAGGACCTGACACCGACGGAGATCCTGACTTTCGCATCTCAGGTGGTCAGGGGGATGGAGTATCTAGCATCGAAACAGGTGAGATCGCATGTAGATGTAAGGTCAATGGAGATAAATCAGTGGACAATGCGTCACTTTCAGTGTGCCTCGTTACCAAGATGCAGGATTAGTAGTTGTGCGTCCAGCTGGAGCTTTTGTGTGTAGTTAGTCATTAAGGATTATTAATCTACCAAGCAAATGCAAATTAAAAAACAACACACACAAACATTTCAACCTTAACAGACAACCCCCCCCCCTTCCCCCCTCCCCCCCCCCCAAAAAAAAAAGCAGCTTGCTTACAATACAAAAAGGCCGGTTATCAACTGAAACGCCTTGTTAATTATTTACAACTTGTTCTCAACTGATTATTTCTCACCACTTATTTTTTTTCCAATTTCTATATCATCCCCTTAGCATGATTTTGCTCTGGACGGGTCCCCTTTAACGCAGATTCACTCTCATTCTGATTGCTCTACAAACCAAACTTGTAACAATGCCTCTGTAGCATTAAGTACTGGTACTGATTTAAAAAGTTTGTCATTTTTTTGCCATATCACACAGACTCCACATTAATTCTTTCCCACACATTATCTTGGGTCCCTAGTCTGATGTAGTTTATTGTCTTGTCTTCTCACAGTGCATCCACAGGGACTTGGCGACCCGTAACATCCTCCTTGGCGAGGGATTGGTATGCAAGGTGTCTGACTTTGGACTGGCTCGAGACGTGGCCGAGAAAAGCCAGTACGAAATGCAATCACAGGTATACAACATAATTATCATTTAGTACACGCACTTTAGAGGCCACCCTCTGGTGGCTGGATCTTACTAGGAATCAGGTTGGCGCCTTGCGGCTTTCCATTGATACATCCAGAAATAGTCAGTTAAGAAAGGAAGCCAGCGCAGATTCCGAAAGTTTTAGTTGAGTAATATTCACTTCATGAAATCTCCAGAGAGGCACGTAAGTAAAAAGTAAAAAGTAAAAGAACGGCGCCTTCTGCTAATGCATCAATCACTTGCAAAAACATCAAGGGCTGTCAACTTCATAAGGCCTAATTTCCACATTGTGTTCTATAAAATCCAATCAAAGAGAGGTTCTACTTCACATTTGTGCGACCATAATTACTGCTTGGAATCCAATGAGAGTGAACCACATATCATCTCTTGAGGAGTTTCCCAGGAGAGATGCAAGATTTTGTTTGCGGTGACTATACTCAAGAAACAGTAGTGTGATTAACATGCTAACAACCTTGTATTGAATCTCCCTCGATCCAAGTGAGACGTGATAACCACCAGATTACAAACCTATTCAAAATCACTCGTCGCATCATCACAATAGATCCTAGTCACATCATGGCGAAACCGAAAACTATAGGAGGCCAGGGAGGGCAACAACAAACAATTTGAGAGAAAACATAAGATCATCAACATCAGCACTTGAACACTCGTTCTTTCTGAAAACCAAGGTATGGAAACGATCTTCATCAGACTGTTGTTTATTTGTACTCATCAGGGCAGGGTACCAGTTCGTTGGATGGCTCCTGAGTCACTGATTAGTAATATGTACACGAGCAAGAGTGACGTATGGTCTTTTGGTGTTCTTCTGTGGGAACTGGTTACGTTAGGTGAGTCGGAAACTCCGTTAAGTTTAGAAGTGTATTTGGGAGGCTCCTTTCTCATGTCTTGATACCGCTGTCATTATGACATTAGGACTGCTATGAAATCCTGTCTGTTTACCTTATATGAACTCGAACCGTCGCATGTGACTTACCACTGTCATTATCATGTTCACTTACGCATAAGCAGTACGACAAAAAAGTTCGTATTTTAGGAGTCTAACTTGTTCACTTAACCGCACCCAACAATTTGTTTCTGGCCAAATGTGGGCATCCTCAATGAGTGACTAGATTTTAGGGGTATAAAAAGTATAGGCCTGTTAATCACGTATTTAACTGAAGCACATTTTCAGATAGTAACTCAATGCCATTTTGAAAATGTATGGTTATAAAACGGTATCTTTGATTATAGCAAAACGCAAACTGACGTCACTATACCTTAAATTCACGACTGCTTCACCCCAAATTGCCCCAATATGGGGTTGTGACAGATCGATCAATAACTATTGCCTGACTCTGTACTCACGTTCTGTATCACCTTTTCATCAGGATCGCATCCATACCCCGGCATGTCATCGCAAAAGGTCATCGATGAAATAAAGCAGGGCTACCGACTACCTAAACCAGAGCATTGTAGCGACGACATGTAAGTCTAATTGGGTCGATCTGGGTCAGTAACTCCTTAATTATCTGCAATTGGTTGCCATTTTTTGTAGCTATTAAAAATACTCAGAGCAAGGCACTTTGCGCCATATATTGCTTCTTGCCACTGCAGTTTCTAAATACTTCACTGGCTTCCATCATTTAACGTACGGACCGTGCTCAAGACAACACTCAACATGTACAAAACCGTGCCCAACAAGTTCCCATACATTTCCGATGTTGTGGGCCTCAGCAAACCTGAACGGCAAGGTCTCCCCTGGGAAGTCAATTTGCTCATCCCTCGCACCACCACGAATAAAGGGAACCGTGCCTTCTCCGTTGCAGGGCCAAAAACATGGAACTCTATCCCCATCACCATCGGGGATGCATCACCTCTTGAACAGTTCAAGGGACTCGTAAAGAACACATTTGTTTTGATTTAATTTGTTTCCAATTCTGTTGATTTGTTTACAGCGTTTTGAATCCTTTCATTGGCAAAGACGCTTTGTAAATACCTGTTATTATTATCATTATCGTCAGCATGGGGTTGGTATTAATCGTATGTAGCATATTATTGTATCTGATTAAATGCGATTATGTGGCATTTGCAGGCCAGTGCACAAACAGGGAGAAAATTGCGGAGAAAAAAATGTGTTGGAAATATTTTAGTAAAAATGATAGTTCTCAGAGGATTGAAGGCTGGTTAGTAGATGTTTCGGTCTGTATGCTCCATTTATCATTAGAAACAGGACCAACTATTCGATGACAGTCAGTATATTGACCCAAAACAAAATCGAGATTTCACCTCAGGTTCTTCTGAAAACCAACAATCGACACAATTCAGTTCTTTCCTCACCAGTGTTTCCATCTTCCGTTTCTGCTATTATATCGTTATCATCAGGGATCAATTTTCATGTCTCTACACACTGAAATATATTTCTATTGCAGATACCAGATAATGATGGACTGCTGGCAGGAGAAACCTGAAGACAGGCCGGATTTCGCTGGTCTTCACACCACCATAGACGACATCCTTGCAGATGCAGCGGTGGGTATTCAGTTTCCAAGCAGGTGTACTGATCACCTGTCATTTTATTTCTCATATTTTCTGCCATAAGCATTCTGTCGCTGTATACAACCCTGATCGCACTCAGGAAAGTCATTCTTGTTATTACGACCGATCATGTTGCAACTTTTCTACTTCATGATCGACACACTGCAATGATTTATCAAAGTTTGGGCTTACTTCGTTGTTTATAAGCAGTATTTACGACAAGAACAAATACAATTTGAAAGGCATGTAACTATACGCGGACTCATCCTAATTCACGCTCGAAATGGAAGAAAAAACAACTTAATTACTATAAAGCTACTGATCAAGTTGCACAAAACAACGTTGAAAGCATGATACTTGCGTTTTTCCTAAATGTGATCTACATAATTTTTATCCGAAAACCTTACTTGGTTTAAAGATCTTTCTGGTACTAAACAACCCGCAAAAATAGTTGATCTCCAATGACATTTTTGAATAAAGAGTGCTATTTACGAAGTTGTGTTTCGTAATCAAATAATAGTGTGCACGGTTTTCACTCTTTCAACAAGTTTAATATTCACTGCGCCTATATGGTTTGCTTTTTTCGTGGTTCAATACTTATTTTTCGTTTATTTACAGGGTTATCTGGAGATGGGAAATCTTAATCCAGAAGATTACGTGTACCTGAAACCTGGCCAAGGTTCGAACAGCATCACTTGCTCACTCACTCGTTCGGCAACAGGCAGCATCGAGTGAGTGATCGCGTACAATCACTACAAGCGTCACAGCTGTGCAAAAGACTGCAGGTTCAGTGTTTATTGCACTAAAGCAAGTTCGAGCGAGAATCGTCGTTAACCATAGTTCAACCGTCTTTCTCAGATGTACCTTAGGCCTGGAATAGTTGAACTAATCTAGCCGACTATTGGCAACCCGATCCCGAGCTGGTTCTCGCGTTTGTTCTGATTTCTACGCTATATGTACATAACGGTCGACACCTGTTAAGTTGCAGGACCAGATAAATTGCCGAGTGTATTAGGCAATTATTAATCCTCATATTTTTTTTAGGAAGGGAGAAGCTCATTAAATGGATTGTCTTAGCAGAGCCGATCAATTTACATTAACTTCGAGATATATAATTTTCTTTGGTGATGTGCTTAGCCGGTTTTAAAAAGTATGTTTAAGACCGCTTTAAAGTCTATATGGATGTTGATTTGTATCAACTATTTCGAACATGGGTCTAAATTCTTGACAAAATTGACGGTAACTGCTTGGTTGTACCGGTGGACGTATGTAACATATCGTGAAATCATCATTACTTTGTATCAGTGATTTTTTTCGAATTACGAACTAAACTTGCAGGTATTGCAATACCTAAATTGGTTTTGCTATTGTCATTTCTTCGTCCCTGTGTAGTTGATGAAGTCTTTCTCGTCCCAGTGAAAGGTACAAAAAAGTGCTTCACCTTTTTGTCGATTGGCGGAATATTACACTCCTCTTCCCTATAATGAAACCTGTCCTATTAAAGCTTTAACTTATGTGAAGCAAGTTATGGATCAATTTCAAAATCTTTAGCACAACTGTTAAAAAAATCACTTTATCCAGGCCGAATCGAAAACTGTTATATGTTTTTAAAAAAACTTTTGCAACTTACAAGTTACAACAAATAACAAACGTGATAAACTTTTAAGTACAGGGGTGGACTACCCTGACTTGCAACAAACTGCACTGAGGATCATTCTGCCTCAGATGTGTGCAGCTGTACTTAACCTATGTGAACATGCAGATTAAGTGTTTGTAAATCCATAGCGGTCAGGTGCATTCCTGATGCGTATTTCCTGTCAGCTGGTGGAACAGGCTGCGGTTCAGGTTCGGCCGATGCTTGTGGTTCTGGCTGGTCGTTGGTTGCTGGAGGGATGACATTTTCCACGGCGGGTTGTTCTGGAAGTGGGACGGCGATAGCAGAGCCGAAGTCAATGTCGTCGGCCAGATTGTGTGACTCGTGATGTGGTTCATGTGGTATGCTCTCTTGTTTGCGAAGATGATCAACATGTCGTTTGATCTCGCAACCATTGTGAACTAAGCGGATTTTGAAGGAGACTGGACCAGCATAGCCTGTAATGGTGCCTGGTAGCCATAAGTAGCCAGTCTCAGTGAAGTTGCGAACTAGGACTGTGTCACCAATCTCAAACACACGTGTCTTGGCGTGCTTGTCGTGATGATGTTTCCGTTTTTCCTGTTGTTTGATGACACGCTGAGCTACATCAGGGCGAAGCTGATCAAGGTGGGAGCGTAAGCGTCGACCCATCAGCATTTCCGCCGTTAGCTTATAGTCCCCGCAGATTCTCACGGAAGACTTGTCTGACTTGAGGACTGGAACTACAGGCGCTGCCCACTCGGAGAACTCAACCGGTTCGATGATTCCTGCAGCTTGCAGACGGTCAAGTTCATTGTCCACCAATGTTCGCATGGCGTACGGTACTACGCGTGCTTTTCAGAATCGTGGTCGGACGTCCTTGTCGACGTAGATCTTTGCGGTTGTTCCCTTCATGGTACCCAACTCATCCTTAAACACTGCAGAATGAGTTTTGAGTACTTCCTCAACGCTAGTAGTAGCAGTCGTGTGCAGAATGTTGATTTGCTGCCAGTCAAGTTTAATTTCTTGAAGCCAGTTTCGTCCAAGAAGGTTTGGTCCATCGCCTTTAACAACGAGTAGCGAAGGTTGAACATCCTTGCGTTGTAGTCAACTTCCACATTAAAGTTTCCGAGAACTGAAACTTGTTCCTCGGTGTAGGTGCGGAGTTTGAGTTTTGTCTTTTGCAGGTTCGCGTTTGGCCACCGTGACTTGAATGTCTGTTCTGATACAAGCGAAAGCGCTGCTCCGGTGTCAACCTCCATGACGAGGTCGTTGTTGTCAACGGACATGGTGACTTTGATTGCCTTCATGCCCGGGCGGTCAGTGGAACATCCGAAGAGCGAGTACACAGGGGTGTGTTCATGTCAACATCAGACGCATTTTCATCGCTTTCAGTGAAATTACTGTCAACAACGGCACTCATTTGCTTGACATGTGATGTTTTTCTCCTGTATCATATGTTGTAAAAGCCGTGTACCTTCCACATTAATGCCAATGCAAATTAGGGCGCATTTGGTGCGCTACACAGGGTGGATAAAAAAAACCACGAAATCGAGATAATATTGCTAATTGGGACAGAAGTAGGGCACATGTGAATCAAAGGGAGATATCCTATGTTAGGGTTGCATCTCCTCTTTAAAATGACACCCTGATCATGTCCTTACCTTCACGGTTGACTGAGCAGTGACCAATTTTATACAAGGCTGTATTTACAGGCTTGCGCCACTTTTCATGGCGATTACTTTTTGTCCTCACCTGCCTTAATTGGCAACCATAGCCTTTCACTCTTTGACAAATGACACCAAAAAAAAACACAATTGGAAAAGCGGTGCAAGCCTCTAAATTGTCAACCGGAGGGGTGGGGCGGCAGGTGTGTCATGGGGGTGGGGTGGGTAAATATCACCCACCCTCCCAAGAAAAAAATGATAAATTAAGAACATACTATAGAAAATACAAGGATTTGTGGAGGACGTGCTTTGCCCCCCAAAAAGAAAGTTCTGATTAACTTTTTGTGAAGGAAGAAATTCAAGACAGTATACATTAATGTCAAGAACATTTTATAATATTTAGGGTTGTTTAAGTAACATGTAGCTTCGATTAAAACACAAATGAACATCCAGCACGAGGCGGTTTTCAACAATGACCTTTGTAGCTTATAATGGATGCTGTAGAATTACAGTGGACAAATACTTGTTCACCATTAATTATTTACTGTAATTAAAGAATAAAAATATATTCTCTGTTCTTTTGGATGATTTTCACGGAGTTTTTTGCTGTAAGCCGTTGTTAAACAACATCATTTACAAGGTTATATGGACGTTAAAGGTAGTACATGTATACAAGATTTGCAGTTGCCATTATTTTCTGAATTTGGGAATAGTCATTTATAGAACATATCGTTTCACTGACGTGTTTAATGTTTTGTGTTATAGACAAAACAAGCGAAAACACAAATGGTTTTCAACCATCACGCTGCAGCTTTCTGAATGCGTTTTGCTAGTAAACTCCAATGGAAATAAAATCCGAGTGTACCGAACGTACGCAAGAGGTCAATAGGTGGCTTATTTGAAGAAAAAAAAATCATCCAATGAACGTTTGTTCGGAAGATCTTTGCACAATGAATTTACAAATCTTAAAATTAACATCATACCGGGCGAAACGATTTCACAGAATGATTGGTGCTATTATTAACCAAGCTAGCTGTTTCATTATAATTTCAAAATTTCATTTTGAGATTTGTGCAAATGTTGTCAACTGCCTTTTAGGGTAGTTTAGTAAATTAACACTGTGGCATCATTGTTATATTTTTTTTAAAAATGAGATTTGTAATATATTATGTAAAACAAAAATAATTGCTCATGACAAGCAAGACTGTGTGATTACTGGCCAACACTTAGAAAAAATTGAAATTGGAACTTGATATCTGAAGTTTATTCCATGTCGAGTATAACCTTATTCTAGTAAAAATGAAATGCACATTTTAGTTATTTCGACAATAACCGAGACTCGCGTCAAAATACAAAATACGACTATTGCTTTATTTCATAAACATTCACACTTTAGGCTGTACAAAAACTTAAAATGTATTAGTCAGTAATCATCATTGTCTTGAAAACTGGATGCAAAAATGCAGTTGGTTCACTTTCTTAAAAAAAAATACCACTAAGCACCGTGTTCCTATTATTACAGAAATGTCTCTGAAATGGCTTGAATGTTAATCCTCGGGTTAAATTTTTTTAACGTGGCTTGGTCAAAACGAGAAATTATTGACGAACAATAAAATCCAGTTTTAAAACCAATCCGACCTGGTTTTTTTTCTTCTTTTTATGCACGCGTGTTTTCTTCTTGAATACTTATTCTCATGCGCGCCATGCCTATTGTGTTTGACATGAAAGTGAACCCACTGCAAGTTTGCATCAAGATCGAATGACAGTGGGGCTCAGTGATGCACGACCCTGGAAATGTAAACAAGGTATCATTGAAAAGCATAGAGATAACGCTTTTAGATGACACCAGTTTTATAGGCAGTAAACATTTAGCCTGTCCATACTGGTTCTTCAAATCTTGTGTTGACACAGCGTGGTGCTGGTACCTCGGATTAATCCGTAACGCACCGTACCGTTGTGAAGGCAACGTAACATATTATACATATTACTTTGGCGGTTTTTCCCCAATTCTGCACTTTGTTTTCTAGTTAGGAAATTCAGGACAGGGTCGGCAGCATAGGTCGGAGGCCAAAAAATGGTTGGTCGGAATTGAGAAACCACAGGATTAGAAAGCGACGCGCTAAGGACTATAGTAATACAAATTATTAATTTCGTAAGGACGCCTACGATTGGTTGTCACAGTTTCGCCTTGGCTGTGGAAGTCAACCTGAACGTCAATTTCATGTATAGCAACGTATGCCTCAGCATTGCTGGCCCAAAGTGCTCTTTTAAATGGTGATTAGAGATATTGCTACCGCTGTAGAACATTCGCGCACTCGCGATCCTTTACACATATTTATCAGCCAACGATGCGGATAGAAATACTACCATCAGACATCACAAACATGGCTGGGCCGTTGAAGGTATCACGTTATGGCTGGGACGTCTACATTTGCCGTCTGTTGCTCCCGGTGATGTTTGTCTGCTGTTGCTTTCAACAAGGTAGCTGCGATCTTGCAGGTAGGTAAATCAAACAAACAATGATATGATTTTCGCACCGGGGCGGAGAAAAACGGGTTAAAATGTGCAATGCAATTCCTACAACTTTGTTTCTAAGTCCCGTAAGAATTGCATGAAAAGTGCAAAACAAGTCTTTGTCTTGATATATTGCACTTTTATTAAAACCGGAATTAAAAGTCAAGCGGCTTCGGGCTCTCACTGCTCTGGAATTAATGTTGTCCAAGGTAATTTTTTTTTCAGTATTATAAAAAAAATCCTTTAACCTTAAATCGCTTTTAATGTGATAGCCTTATAATGTCATGAAGTCACATTTTTCCAAGTTTTTGTACTATTATGGTTACACCAGGTTTCATTTTTCATCCCTCAACCCGTTTCAAAGAAATTAGTTTTATTTTCAATTTCATTTTGAGAAATAAATTTAATACATAAAGAAGTCAAAATGACGTCACGGTAATATAATGTACGCTACGATTTCCAAGTTAATGATATGAGCCTTTTTTATCAATAGTTATCCGCTCGGGTGGAACCGTTATCCAACATAATAGTAATACGCCCATGCGAAATAGCATTCAGCCCGATCGGATTACTATTCCACCTGGACAGAAGAGTCGGCCGGGATAATTGTTTAGGCTTCCACATAAATCGCCCAGGTTTTTGCCGCATTATAATGTCAGCGCCTATCAAATCAGCGTTTCAAGAAGCCAATGTAAGGGGTATTAACGGTATTCTTCTCTAGTCTTCTTCATCACATTGCTTTTTTACATGTACATGCATACTGTTTTTTTTCACCTACGAAGGAGAAGAGACGTCAAAATTAAACCGGGCCATATAGGGTCCCGCAAGACAAGATAAAAGATGCCGTATTTGTGGTTCTTGTGCATACAAGCCTTTTCTTTTCTATTCATCTGTTTTATAGGGAAAGGGCGTTAATGCCTCGCTATTAGAATGTTGCTGGTTGGAATAGGATGTTACAACTGATAATGTAATAACCAACGGATAATGAATCAAATTAGGTTTTGCCCTGCATCGACGGGCAAAACCTAATTTGATTTATATCACCCCGACGCAAAATTCCATCTTACAACGGATAATGATCACCGACCGGTTATGACCGATAATGTATCAACAATCAACTGATAGTGCAGTACATTTTTACTACACTGTCGGTCAATTTCTGTTACATTATCGGTTAGTGATACAGCATCGGTCAATTTGTGTGACATTATCGGATGGTGATACATTATCCGTTGGTTGTTACATTATCAGTTGTAACATAGAATTATTAGTGTCCAGTGCACCTATTCATTCGATGTACAAAGTGTCAGAATAGCAAACGACGAGAGCGCTGTAAAGAGCGGCTACGTCCTCACGCATCAAACCTGTTAGCAGATGAAGGCTTGTTCACACATAATCATGATAAGAGGAGGCAGGGTAATTGGGAAAAGTTATCAGTTTGTAGGTGCAAGCAGAAAATAAAACCGATGGCTACTTTGGAACCATTGTGACAAAATATGCAATCTGCATTTTCTGGTGGTTGAAAAGTTGATGGCCACTCTTGAACCACCGTGGCCACAAAAAAAGGAAACCATAGCATTGCGTTTATTGTGTTACAAACGTTAAAATAATCGGGACGAAAACTACTTCATTGGACGTTGTGAATTGTTTTATGTCTGAACAGGAGAAGAAACATAACATTCAGCTTCCCCATTAAAATATGTCTTTACAACTGAGTTAAAAATGCTTCTTTTAGATAAATGTCAGTACCTGTTATGTACACGTATTGTGTTACAAACGCCATAGTGAATGAGACGAAAACTATTTCATTGAACATTGCCTAGTTGTTAATCTTTTTTTTGTCTGAACAGGAACAGAAACATAACATTCAGCCTCCCCAGGAAAATCGCTTTAGTTGCGAACAAATGCTTTTTTATGATAAAATGTCACTACCTGCATTTAATATGTACACGTACACGTTATTTCCCACCTTTCCGGTCTGGTGACGACAGCAGTTAAAATGTGCAAACCGAATACTGATTGTTTTAGAGGTGGGAGAAAAAGCCCAGATGAATTATCTGAGGAAAGCCCACGTTCAGCTAGGTTAAACCATGGGCTCAATTGAGCCATGGGGTCAGTTGAGCCACCCCTCTATCTGGCCTTTGAGTTGGGACAGCATTAAAATACTGCCCTCTGTTTTGCCCTCCTTCATTAATTCCTTTTTGATGTGCATTAATGGCCACTTTTGTTAGAATGTGCACAGGGTGGGAAGTTGAGCTAATTTATAATGTTGTTTTCGTTGTACAAAATCATGCTATATTTGAATTTGCTTAATATTTAATATTTGCTTGAAATATAATATATGGCTTGAAAATGTTCGTTGATTACATTGGCCTTAAGACAGAATATTTATAACTTCCGACCATGTGACATCTTAGACTCCAGGCAAATTGAACCGAAAATGGCGCAACTTGCGCCACTCGCAGTCTGCACTATTGTTTTAAAATACGTTCCAAAACAAAATATAACGGACTTTTACCACAATGTTTATTGCAAAATGGTTTGGTTGACTTAAAGAAAAATAATTCTTCTCGTCATCAGAAACCGATATTTGGACAGCTAGTTTCTTTTTTCGATTACACCAAAGAAATTGTGCAAGGTCACTTTCAATTTTCGAATAGCGTGAAAATCCAGAAATATACGTTCAGAACGGAATATACTTAGGCGAGCCATCAGATAACAGACCGTTCGGGTACCGGGTCCGGTATGCTAATTTCTTTCACCCCAATCGGTACGAAGCCAGAAGCCACCCGGTCACTGAAGCGTGACGCCCCAATCCGTCCAAACTGGTGAATCAGGGTTTCACAATAGGCAACATAAATTGAAGTCTGGCCATTGTTGGAGGATTATTCAGCCCAGCGGCAACTTCTATGAAGCTCATCACAGTCATTGTTGCCTACTGGAGGATTAGCGCGTCGCAAATTGATTCCTTTGTGATGAGCCAGAGCCATGGTGCAGAAGCCTGGTGGAGTTAATCCAGGCCGATCGTTTCCATGCAAGATCCCAATCCCTTCAACATACTGGGCGGGCTCAACCCCGAACGGTCCGGGGAGGGATTCTAATTTGAGGGCTCGCCTTATTTGTTGACAAAATTGTGTACATGCATGTAGATGTACAATGCGCATAGTACAATGTACACACATGTACATTCACCCACCTGCCCCATGGTAATTGTATGCAAAACCTCTAGGGGTGCATGTGCACTGTTTTGTTGGCCATGTAAAATTTAAGGATGAATTCTATTTTGTGGTCTTGTCGAAATTGGAGTTTACGTTTCGAGTCGATTTTTCTAGTTTGCATTTACTTTTTGAGCTTTCAGTTGAATTTGTCAGTCAATGTTGCAGCTTTTTACCCCTTGAAAGAGTAGCAACTCATGTTTTTAAAAGAAGTTAAGTCCAAAACGTCATAGATTGCACCACATTCAGATGTCGTTGGGGGGGGGGGGTCGCGTCAGAGGGAGGTAGAAGGCATGTGCTTTTGGTTTTTTTGAGGGGGGGTTCACGACTTTCGAATATTATGGGTTTTTTTTATATTTCCAGCAAGACCTCCATAGAAGGAAAGGATAAAATACCTTGGCTATTGTCCATTGTAAGTTGTTATCAAATCCCTGATTTATTTTCAGCCCTACCTATTCATCGGAAACATACATCACAGAGCACCGTATGGTCGCCTCATGAATCTTATCAGGCCATCGATGGACAGACGTATACCTTCTCGCGCACAGGTAAGAGCAATGAGAAATACGTCTGCATTTGCTATGACCCCATGTCATCATCTACTTCGTTTCTCTAGTCACCTTCGGCATTCTCGAAATCAATGACACAGTACCAACACTTCCTCCTGCTGCTTCCAATCTAATCTAATCTAATTTAATCCTGCAACATTTCCCAAAGGACGTTGGCTCCACCAGTTTTCGCTCCCTACTCATGTTTGTCTTGCGCTCTGCGGTGTTCCAGGTAGAAGGCGCTGTTTATTGATGTGATTTTCCCATCTCTTCCTTGGCCTATCCCGTCTATTTTTCCCAGTCAGGACTCGTTTGGAAACTCTGCTGTTTGCTGTTTGCCATCCTCGATACGTTACCAAACCAGGCAAGTTGGATTTATTTATATGAATAAGGTGATTAACTCCGGTGGATTGCCGGCAGCCGAAATTCTGCTCCACACCTCGTCATTTCGCACCTTGTCTTGGCAAGAGATGTTCAGGGTTTTGCGATAGGAGTGCATCTTTTTCAGCCGTCTTGAAAGTCCAAGCTGCTGAGCCATATAGGAGAACAGAATGGACGAGTGCATTTACAAGACGCAGCTTCGTTTTCTGTGAGACATCTTTGTCTTTCCAAAACCTCTTAATACACATTTAACAAAATGGCCGACTGCAGGGTTGTCAATGCGGATGGGGTGGGCAAAATGTTCCACTCCCGCCCACCCTCGAAGCAGTAAACTGAGAATAGGCTGGAGAAGGTACACGGATTTGTTCTCCCCCACCAAAGAAAAAATTATGGCTACGCCCATGGCTACTTCCCTTCAACCAATCTCCATTCCTATCCCCCTCCCTATTCCCATCCCCATCCCCATCCCCATCCCCATCCCTCTCCCTATCCCCATCCCCATCCCTATCCCCATCCCCATCCTCATCCCAATCCCCATCCCTATCCCAATCCCAATCCCCATCCCCATCCCATCCCTATCCCCTTCCCTTCCCCATCCCCATCCCCATCCCCATCCCCATCCCCATCCATTTCCCCATCCCTATCCCAATCTCCATCCACATTTCCATCTCCACCCCCATCTCCATTCCTATGCCCATCCCTATCCCAATCCCATCCCCATTTCCATCCCTATCCCCCTCCCTACCCCATCCCCATCCCCATCCCCATCCTCATCCATATCCCTACCCCCATCCCCATTCCCATCCCCATCCCCATCCCCATCCCTATCCCCATCCCCATCCCCATCCCTATCCCTACCCCCATCCCCATCCCCATCCCCATCCCAATCCCAATCCCCATCCCCATCCCCATCCCCATCCTCATCCCTACCCCTACTCCCATCCCAATTCCCCTCCCCATCCCCATCCCCATCCCCATCTCTATCCCCATCCCTATCCCTATCCCCATCCCCATCCCTATCCCCATCCCCATCCCCATCCCCATCCCCATCCCCATCCCCATCCCCATCCCCATCCCCATCCCTATCCCTATCCCCACCCCATCCCTATCCCCATCCCTATCCCTAACCTCATCCCCATCCCCATCCCTATCCCCATCCCCATCCCCATCCCCATCCCTATACCCATCTCCATCCCCATCCCCATCCCCATTTTCATCCCTATCCCAATCCCCATCCCCATCCCTATCTCTAGCCCAATCCCCATCCCCATCCTCATCCCCATCCCCATCCCCATTTTCATCCCTATCCCAATCCCCATCCCCATCCCCATTTTCATCCCTATCCCAATCCCCATCCCCATTCCCATTCCTATCCCTAGCCCCATCCCCATCCCCATCCCTATACCGATCCCCATCCCCATTTTCATCCCTATCCCAATACCCATCCTCATCCCCATCGCCATCGCCATCGCCATCCCCACCTCCATCCCCATCCCCATCCCCATCCTCATTTTCATCCCTATCCCAATCCCCATCCCCATCCCCATCCCTATCCCTAGCCCAATCCCCATCCCCATCCCTATACCCATCCCCATCCCCATTTTCATCCCTATCCCAATCCCCATCCCCATTCCCATCCCTATCCCTAGCCCCATCCCCATCCCCATCCCTATACCGATACCCATCCCCATTTTCATCCCTATCCCCATCGCCATCGCCATCGCCATCGCCATCCCCACCTCCATCCCCATCCCCATCCCCATACCCATACCCATCCCCATCCCTATTCCCATCCCCACCTCCATCCCCATCCCCATACTAATTGCTCTCACTCCTGTGCCCCTTCCCTCCCATGCTGTCCCTGTGTCCATCCTCATGCCCACCCTCCCCTTCCTAATCCCCTGCCCTTGCCTCTCCGACCGCTCGGATTTAATTATAATTTACTGATTTCGTCCCGTGTGGATCTAATAAATCGCTGGAGATTCCGCCGTGTGTCGATGTAGACGCCGCCATCTTTAAATGTATCTCTGTAAACAAACTGCTCACAATAACCTGCAGCAGACCCCGGCGAGACGGAAACAAACTAGGGTCAGAGGTTATACGATATAAATTGTGTAGACAAGGCACACGTCATGGGGATACCCTGTTTATTCACGACGACGTAAACCGAGCCGCTGCCAGCGGCTTTCCGTACGACTTGTACAATTGTTGTGTGCTGCTGTCAGCGGCTCGCCGTAGCGAAAGAGTTGATGTGTCAGCTCATGGCAGTAAGCCAGTGAGCAAACTTTTCTCTCAAATGTCTTCAATGAACAAATGTTTGGGCTCATAATTTCAGCAGAAAAAAAACACATAAAATGGACAATGTCTTACTGAAAGAACACCACTGCAAAATCACCCTTTGTTGTCTGGAAAAGCATGGAAAATTTGAAACGTTGAGAGAGGTGCTCTTTTTAGTAAAAGTAACCAAAAAGGAACGTCAAGTAGTTTTCAGACTCATAAAGCGCGGTTCATACTCGGCGCAAAAGAGAACACAAATTGTGCCGTCATGGCAACTATTCACGTTTAAATTTGTAAAACATACTTCAACTCGGGCAAAGTTCGCAGCAAATGTTTCATGACGTCAAATTCGCTTCGCATTTGCATTCGCATGAAGTTTATGAACCGGAATTTAGAGGATTAGAAATAAGCACAAAACAAGTTCCTAATAAATATTCACTTCATGGACCCTTTAATATTCTTCCTTTCCTTCCTTCCAGATGATTATGATCCGCATCCTTGGTGGCTGCTTGACCTAGGTAGCAATCACAACTTGAGTAGAATCAACGTCACTCTCCGAAAGTATGGCGGGGGTAAATGTTCTCTACACTTCACCCCACGAATTATTATTCATTGAGGTTTTCTTTTTAGAAAGATATTTTTTTTGCAAAACTGTAATTTACAAAGTAGAACTGTCTTTTCCTCTCTAGGTTATCGTTTCACCGGGGCGATAGTGCGAGTTGGACTGAGCCCCAACTTCACCGAGAACCTGCCGTGCGGCTCACCGGCTACCAGCGAACAGTCTAAGAAAGGAGCTGAGATCCCGTTCCTGTGCGAGCCATCGCGGATGGCTAGGTATATCAGCTTGGACATCGATACCTCCATGCCCGGTGTGGATCCGAGAGAGGCATATCTGCAACTTGCCGAGGTGACGGTGGAAAACGTCACGTCTGGTGAGTGTGCTGGTAGGTGACATCAGTCGTTTGGTATTTCCAAGGTCACGCTTCAATAAAAAACAGAACTTTACAACCTACTTGCAAAATTTGCTTTGTGTAATTGTAATCTCCTCGGCCAAGGCGAAATAGGCAAATTGCTAATCTGTTAATTAAAAGACATGTGTTTTATAAGGTTGACAGTATAACCTAGGAAAAACTGTGTCAGGGACACAATTTCGTAGACAAACCAGACAAAGTTTTTTAGGGACAGAATGTCCGTCCACACCGGCATTGACATGATGTAGAAAAGGCCTATTGGGCCTTATGCACCAGTCGGCCCCGTTGAATTGAAATTGAGGTTACATCTAAATTTTTGGAACTTGTGAAGAGAAATGAAAGCAGTTAATTAATAATTAATTTCAGTCTGCTTTAATGAATAATTTAAAATGTGTAATATACACATCATAAAAGCCAGACTAAAAAAATGACAATAAATAAGGCTGCATTATGTCTGCATAAAGAGTCTGGCACCATCCAATTCAACAGATATCACTTAATGAAATGCATTCAGGGAATGGCCAACTCGTGCATCAGGCCCGTACATGTAGTTTACAATGCGCAGTGTAACCTCACATTAAAGATGTATTTTTCTCCACAATATTTTGTACACGTTCTTCTTCAAGCCATACACTTAACCAGAGATGGACCCTGATGATTTCCGTTACGATGACAACATATTGCGTCACTACATATTAGAAGTGCATTTTGTTTCGAGTAGCTGTAATTTCTGAAGTACCAGTCCGATTGGGTTGAAACTTGGTATGCATATAGACAGGGGTGTGCACACGTGTGGTACATATGAAAATCGAGGTGATGTCCTCATGACGTCATCACATGTCATGTGATATCATATTAAATGGACAATTTTCTAAGGTCTATATCTCAAGAACCATAGACCCGATTTGCATGTGCATATACCGGGATGTATCATAGATAGAAATTAAAGTGACATCAGCATGATGTTTTCTATTAATGGCACATATCTACAGCATTATAATGTTCGATTTGTTTGTAACTTTACACCGAGATAATAATATACATTTAGATGGAAATTTAAGTGACTTCATGGTGTATTCATTGCGTCGGTTGTCATTGTTTAAATTGTTGTCAAAAACCTGATTCATTTCAGCCCTCCCTGTTTATGGGAAAAATACATCACAGAGCTCAACATGGGACGCTCACCCTTCTTATAAGGCTATAGATGGACGGAAATATACCTACACGCACACTGGTAAGAACAATGCGAATTATACCTCCGCGTTTGCTGTAACTTCATGTCATCGTCGAATTCGTCTCCCTCGTCACCTGCGTCATTCTCAAAATCAATGACTATGTACCAACTTTCTCCTCCCTCCACCATTTGCATCCTCATCAATCTCCTCAGTCCTCATTCCCGCCCCATGCCAACGTCCAGCCACCAAATCCCCCAATAATTCATTTTAATTCAATAGACATTTATTTACATTGCATAGAAAATGGACAAAGAATAATAACTGGTAAGTTAATTAAACAAATGTATGGAGGCCAATTCACAGAAAGAAAAAGCGGAAGACATTGATATAATAAATGCATTCAGAACGCCCCATTCTGACCCCTGGCCACTTTCAGATCCCCACCCCAAACCCATGCAGATCCCCGGCCACATTCTGATTCCCGCCCTATCACCATACTGATTCCATACTGATCCCCTCCCCATACTGAAATATGTCACTATCATACTGATGCCATTCCATTTCCATACTCATGCCCGTTCCTATCGCCATACTGATCCACCTTCGCATCCCAATACTGATCCACATCCCCCATTTTCTTCCCCATACCAATCCATGTCTACATATCAATCCGGTCCCCATCCTTATACTAATCCCCACCACTATCATTATACGGATCCCCATCCCCATCCAAACACTGATCTCCGTGCGCATCTCCGTAATTTGATATCCTCCTCCCCATGCTGAACCTGTTCCAATCAGCATACTAATTCCCATTATAATCCCTATATACTTTTTCCTGTCCCCATCCAATACCCATCGCAACACTTATCAACACAGATCGCAATGTGATCCCCGTCCTCATACCCATCCTGATCTCCGTCCCCATTCCTTCACTGATCATTCCCTCACCTGATCAAGCAAATCTTCTCCTCTTCCGAATGCCCATACTTAATACCCATCCCAGGCTGATCCTCTTCCCCATCCCCATACTGATCCCCGTCCCTATCCCAAAACTTATCCCCGTCCGTATCCCCACACTGCACTGAATCCGTTCATATCCCCACACTGACCCCCGTCCCTATCCAAATACTGGCCCCTGTCCCCATCCCCATACTGATCCCATCACCCACTGACCGTTACCCCCCATGCCCTCTTCCCTCCCCTGCAATCCCAGGTCCCCTCTCCACGTACACCTCCTGTCAATCACCATCCCCCTTCACAATCCCTTTCCCTTGCCTCTCCGTCCCCATTTCCAATCTGATCCTCGTCCCCATCCCCATTATTATCCCCATCACCCACTGATCGTTATCCCAATGCCCTCTTCCCTCCCTGCCATCCCAGGTCCCATACCCACGTGCACCTCATGTCCATCACCACGTACCTCCCCTTCCCAATCGCTCCCCATTGCCTCTCCGTCCCCATCGCCTTGCATCCCAACTGACACGATCTTTATCATTTTCACCATTGTTAGCTTTCGCCACCCTCAGCATCAACGTCACCACTTTGTTCGCAGTTGTTAAAAATACACAAAGTACATTTGAATTGAAAACATTTTCTTCCTTTCCTACATTTCAGATGCTAATGATCCGCATCCTTGGTGGCTGCTGAAACTAGGTAGCAAGCACTGCTTGGGTAGAATCAACGTCACCCTCCGAATGAATGGATGGGGTAAAATTGCTTAAAGACCAGTCACTTTGATATTGCAAATTTTTACTAATTTCAAAATGTATATGCATTCAAAATAATCTGTAATGTATACAAACTAAATCAGGAGATTTTGAGAATCATCCAGAGATAATTATAAATATCATATATATATCAGACATTCTGATAACCATGTCTGTACATAATACGTCACCGTTTTCACGAAGAGCCACATATGTCAAAAATTACCATTTTTTCGATTTTGATTTTTTTCCATATTTTGCTTTAAAACAATGTACTTAACCATTTTGACATGTTTCTGTAAGCAAAGCATCATTAATTTCCAAGTTACATTAATGTTGCAAGAGTCCAAAATCTCGATAATTGAATTTTGCGTTTTCACGAAGAGCCACATACATTTTGGCCCTTTGAACGCGTACAAAACCCATTTCACGGAAATACGTAAAAGTAGGTCAAATGAGATTTGCGTTTTCACGAAGGGCCACATATCTTTGTTACATTTTCAGCTGCGCGCGAGTACTCACGCGCGCCTATGGAAATACACATTGAACAGAAAGGGCCAATATGTCAGAAACCTGAATTGCGTTTTCACGAAGAGCCACATATCTTTACTAATTAATTTTCACTAATTAACTGCTGAATTAAGTCTTGTAACTGAGTTCATGTAAAAATTCAGCTCACACAGAATAGTGTGATGGTCCTTGCTTCACAAAGTTGTTGCAAAGTGGTATTTTTTGCAGTTTTAAAATAGGAGAAACTTCTTTTGCGATTATCTCGAAAACGCTTCTTCTTCAAAATCGACATATGTGGCTCTTCGTGAAAACGGTGACGAATAAAGTTGAACTGTTTTCTCTTTTTTTAGGTTTTCGTTTCATCGGGGCGATAGCCCGAGCTGGACTGAGCCCCAACTTCAACGAGAACCTGCCGTGCGGCTCACCGGCTACCAGCAATCAGTCTAAGAAGGGGGCCGAGATCCCGTTCCTGTGTGAGCCACCGCGGCTTGCTAGGTATGTCAGCTTGGACATCAATACTTCCATCCCCGGTGTGGATGCAGCACGTGCATTTCTGCAACTTGCCGAGGTGGCGGTGGAAGAGTACACGTCTGGAGAGTGTGCTGGTAGGTAGACTTGAAATCAAGCCGGCAATCTGGCCGGGTTTAGTCCGCCTGCACCGCCGTGCAGCTCACTGCACCGTACCACCGGAGCTGACAACCGCACACCGTCTTAGTTTTACGTGTAGCGCGCGGTATGCGGCAACGATTCTAGTCTGATTCCCTGCCCCCATTGTACTTTGGATTTTAAATATGGGGACAGGTAGCTAGCGGTGAATCTTTCATACATCAGGAGGCATCCCTCCTGATGTATGCAAATGTATGCATGACGAGTACAGGTCTGAATCCCGCCTCCTGAATTGAACATTACAACCGTAACGTTTGCCCGAACCAGATCCTTTTGCAAAAAAGACAATAGCTGTGCCACCATTGTTCAATTTCGGATGTGATTACCATCGATTTTTTTTGCTGAACTCGAAAGTGTCTCTGACAAATATTAATAAAGAGAGGGAGAGAGAAAAATTACTGCTCAGTATTTAAAACCTATGCAGTTGAAAAAGTTACCTTCATGGAGAGTGGAGACACTGATGATTTTGCGTACTTTAGGTGGTAAGACAAGAGTGAGTTTTTCAAAAAGCGTGTGTTGGATCACCGTCCATGCACAGTGATTTGGAATATAATCATAATTCGCGCTAGGTACCGGTCTCCATATATTGGGGGGGGGGACCAGGGAAACAGTCTACAACGATTCCTGCATCCTCGGTCCCATATGCGTGCTCAAAAAATTGAACGGAGAAGCATTCTGATTAGATTAGCTATAGGAGGATATGAATATTTATATTACACGTACCTAACATTGACGTGTCTCGATGTAGGTGGTGAATGTTTCACCAGTACCGGTGCCACACACACAGCCTGGAGCGAATGGAGTGCTTGAGAAGCGAAAGCTTATTCCTGGGCCGTTTGGAATTCTATGCATCACAGGGATATATTATGGCATGAAATTAAGTGCCGTAGACACCGAATGATGACACCATGCCACCTAGCTAGAAACCTTAATTAGACCCCCAGGAACAAGAAAAAAACATGTTGGCAAAATACTGAGTGTTGCAGATGGCGGCCATCTTGAATTTCAAAATGGACGTCATTGTAGGATCATTTTCAACTTGTGAATGTCATATTATGAAATTAATCTTGGTGGCCTTACACCCCTAATTGTAAATATCAAGGGTTTAAGATTGACTGTTTTAATTTTCATCAGAAAACCAATGAATGACAGCCATCTTGCTTTTCAAAATGGCCGCCACGTTTTGTTCTCTGGCCGCCACGAAATGTTCTCCACGAAATGTTCTCCTTCCAATGTCTCCAAAAATTCGTTTGGCCAAAAGCACCTAAAATTTTAAACAATGAACCTCAAAATTGAAATAGCGATGTAATTGATTGTTTTATACATGTACAATGAAAGATATTATAGTTACAAAATTACCATAGAGGGCGACATTGTAGATGTGTATAGACTATATTTACACACGCAGCACATGTAATTGGACAAAAGTTTACTGGCATATTGAAGAAAAGTGCAGTGATGATGAAGATGAACCACTTTAATCAAGCAAACAAGCTATATCAACTTTGGCGGGAAAGTCAGCGAGTTTGTCAAAACCACAACTGTGCAGTAAACCAACGATATATTCTTTACCAAGAAAGAGTCGAATTTCAAGACCAATGTACGGTGATAACATCATTAGCACTGCAATCCAATAAATAAATATATTGCTTTCTTTTTTGGACGAAACATGTTTTAGTGTCATTGCGTTTAAATAGCAATATTCCCTAAACGGATTGAACAATTCCAGTATTTTTTTTAACCAAAAGTAGCTGATGAAATTGGCTTTCCGGTAATTATTATTTTTGGTGCTACATAGTTGTTTTGTTTTTTTAAATATGAAACATATTTTTTGAGGTTTGGGTTCCGATCTTTGTTACTAACCCGTAGCTCGATCATACGAGCAGCATCTGACATTGCTGGTAAATAAAGTAATATGTAGTTAGGGCCCAATCTTAAGTACATCTAGTATTTATTGGTTTGACACCTTTAGGACATTTTGACGAACTTTATGTATGCTTTGGGCAAGGGCGGATCCAGAACACAATTTCTTTTGGGGGGGCCCAAAATTGTTTTGTGTCTCCCAAAAAGTGGGTCAACAAATTACGGCGTGGGGTTCGGGGCCCGCTTAAGGGCCCCAAATTTTTTTTGGATTCTCGATGCTTTGTGGTGCGATCTGAGGCAATTTTCTGACGACTTTAGCCAATGTTTTGTTAGAAAAGATGGTGGTGTACTCATTGCCTGCCTTTATTGCGACGTCACATAAACAAACCAACAATTGGTTTCGGGGGGTATTTTTTTTTTGGGGGGGGGCGGATCCGCCCTTGGCTTCGGGTAGGTTTGATACGAGTTATGTTTTCAAATTTGTTTTCTTTTTCCAGCTCCTGGTTATTTGGGATGTTTTGGGGACGCTGAATATCGTTCCCTATCGGTCGGCCCAGCAGCCACAGAATATGAACAGTCGGTAGAGTGGTGCTTCAGAAACTGTTTGGAACCTACGGAGTATAAATATGCGGGAATGGAATACAAATACGAATGCTGGTGTGGGAATGACAACTACGATAAACACGGTAAAGAGCCGGATTCCGATTGCAAATATTTTTGCCCCGGAAACAGCAATCAGATCTGTGGAGGCAAATGGCGCATATCCGTGTACACAGGTGAGTAGAAAAAAATAACCAACTGAACACATTTTACAGTTCATTCAAATGTACTGTGGATTTTCATTCAAAGCCAGTTGACTACATCACACGTCCTCATAAATCCATCATAAATCATCCAGTCCTTCGTCATGTCACAAACTATTGAAATAAAATGAGACAAGGGCATTCCTTTGTCAACATTCATCCAATGTTAAGTCCCAGTCACACATTCACGGTTTGTAGCTATACGGATCTCTACGATTTGAAATTCGTGATAAAGTGTGGGAGTACCGTATTCATCCTTGGTACATCCGTGGTTATCCGTCATCTTCCTTGGGTATTCGTGGAAAGGCTACGGGAGTTTAAAACTGTTCATAACTTCCGTGGTAAACCGTCATGAACATTAATCCGTAGTGCAACCGTGGGACATCCGTGGGACAACCGTACTTATTCGTAGTGTTATTCGTGGCTTTATTCGTTCATATTGGAGATTCGTAGCTCATTCGTGGTAGAAATCTCTACGAATTCGCTACGAATGTCCTACGGATATGCCAGGATGTGCTAGAGTTCTGCTAAAGTTGTACTACAAATGTTTAAGCTTTATTCGTAGGAGAACCTTGGTCATCCGTGGTCCAATAACAGACAACCGTTACGTTGGCGTCATTATTCTCAGTAATACCGTCGATTTTCTTCACCAATCCGTCCATATTCTTGACAAAACCGTGGTGTATTCGTAGAGAAACCGTAGATCAGTCGCGGCTATCCGTTCTGAAACCGTAGAGCATTCTTAGAACTTTGATTTCTCCACTAATCTCGACGGTTCATCGTGATCGATTGATTTTTGGTAAGCCATGGATATTCACATTTCAAAACCGTAATTGTGTGACTGGGGCTTAACTTTTGGCCGGACTTGTGAAGTAGCTTGCGGTTGACTTGCGAACGGCATTTGTGATTGACTCATCAACAACTTGGATCGCCTCATCAGAAGTTCACAAGATACGTATTATGTTGTCTTATTGCAGTATCACAAGGAGTGTGTAGTAACGACATAGGACCACCCACCAACGGAGACCACACCATCACCAACCCGCGTTCACTGTCTTACAATCTCATCAACTACAAGTTCTTCGGGACTCGTGTGGATTTCTCCTGCGACCCTGGATATACCCTCCATGGAGCATCCAGCATTGAATGCATTGAGACTGGCTACAACAACGTCACGTGGAGTGACTCGGTACCAACATGTGAAGGTATGCAATATGTAAAATGCATTTACCTATCATAATCAAAACAGAGTGAAACTAGACTGAACTACACAAAGTTTGTATTCGAAATAATGAATACTGACTTCTTCGATTCAGACTTAAGGATAATATAGTTCAGTTGAACTTCATTAGAATGTACGTATGAAGAGGCTCGTTGATCACAATAGGCGGACGTACATACCGACCGAGGAGCGATTTTTTTCCCAACCGACATTCTGCTTTCCATCTTCTGATTGGTCCATTGTATGCATATCTAATGCCTTGTTCTCCATAACACAAACCCAAGATAGGTTTTACGTCTTGCGAGAAATGTTCCTGCATCACTTCACTTATTTAAAAGGTAAAATAAGAAGAAGTGAAAAACGCTCACTGAGATTCTAACTCGGTTCGCCTGATTAGAAGTCAGGACTTCTTTCAACCAGTCCACGAATGAGCTGCCAATCATTGGTGATTTAAACACTACTATTCCCTGTTATATAACTTATTCTCTAATTCCCCTGGACATCATGAATATGCATAACACCGAGAGAGCGCCCCCTTTTGATATTGTCAGATCCGGGATCGTATTTTTTCCTAGAAGGGCTAGGGCCAAGTCATGCATAATTCTGTTTTTCCTTTAAAACATTGCAGGGCACTTTATGTTCGAGTTCTTGAGCGTTTTCCCTCAAATTAAAATTATCTCAAAGATCAATTTGGAAAAGAAAAATAGTCGACGAAAATGAGCAGCGACGACGTGGATTCGAACCAGGGATCTTTATTTCCATAACTCATCATGCTATCTACTAGACTACTCTAACTACTACTGCTATTAGGCTTTAATGTAACTGGTTGACTTTATAACAATAATGCTCTTTGTATCATTGTTCTGTTCTCATGAATAAACATTCTGGCCCAATCGAAACTGCTGAATTATTCATGATTTAGTCCCTATCGTCCTGGGAATAAGAAATGACGTGACCGAAGTGTTTGGGGGTTCACATTGGCTATTTCACAAATGATTTGCTATTCAGCTTTGTGGTGATTAAATCTCCATTTATTTTACATATAGATAATGTTTGTATCAACCCAAACCCCTGTCAAAATGGCGGCACGTGTATTCCACAGTCCACCGGTGATTTCTATAACTGTTCCTGCCCCGCCGGGTTTATTGGAGGGGATTGCCAAAGTGAGTACATTGTTATAAGATTTTAGGCTTTGCATGGTGGAGTATTCGTGTCGTATTGATTGCGATAACACCACTACTGCCCAGTACATATTTTTGTTATCTGCTATCGCTAAGTAGTTTTAGTCCTTTTCTAAAAGAACTTGTCTTTGGTCTCAACTTTTCGACTAGCCTGCTTTAGTCATCGTCAGGAGGACAAGTTCTTTTCAGAACTAAAGACTACATGCTATGAAACTAGGGACAAATATGTGCAACAGTGAGTGAAATAATTGTTAACTTTCCTGAAATTGTTCAAGGCACCAATTAAAATTGACTTGGATGAAGCGACGGGCTTGTAAAAATTTTCAAAAAAAATTTCACCAAGAGACGCGAATATGCCTGCCCCTTGAACACGTACAAAACGTATTGCACTGAAAGGCGTTAAGTAAGTCGACCGATATTTTATATTCTCATGGAAGAACCCATGGAACAAGGATGAAAATGTGGACAACTTTGATTTTCGATTCCTTGAAGATAGGTAAAGGTCCTATAGCCAATACCGGCCGTAGGGGCAGTGGGATGTTAGAGGTCCACTGTGTCTTGGGTGCGGCATATGAGTGGCGGGGCCCAGTCCTCTCCTCTCGCTGTCTTACCTTCCCTGAACGAATCAGGTACCAATTTTACTGTTGGGTCGTCAGAGAGAGTTTTCCAGTTTTTGGTCCGAATGGGATTCGAACCGCCGACCTTCCACTCCGTAGCTTTACGTTCTAACCGCTCGGCTATAGGGCCCCTTTACTAATTAAATCTGGCAAACGTGTTATTTATTATGTGTTCAAAATTAAAGTTTACCCATTAAAATAATTATATAAAAGTTTCCCAGTTGCATAAAGTTGTTGCAAAGCAGTAGTTTTTTCAGTTTTAAAATTGGAGAAACTTCTCTTGCAAGAATCTCGAAAACGATTTTTCTTCAAAATCCACATATCCGTCCCTTTATGATATGGTGACGATATAGAAGGTGACCCGCGTAGAATTGTGTGTTTTGAGTGGATACTTATTATATTCGAATCACCATCGGTCTATATTTTTAAGTTCATGACATCTCCAATCAGTTCATCTTGTCTCCGATAGCAAGACTCAGTTGTAATCTTAGAAAGTTTATGTCCTTCCACCAAAAAGCTAGTTGATGCAAAAACACTAATAATGTTAGAACAGAAATAAAACACACCGATAGCTAATATATATATATATATATACATTACTTACTCACTATATTTAACCAATTGTACATGTTATCACCCACATCATTTGCATTTGTATGTCTGTTTGAAGTACTTTGTTGAGTACTCTTATTACTCATTATATTCTTCATTTTTAGCGCATTGGGTATTTTAGCCACATAGCTTGTTTTAGCCATGAAAATAATCTGGTTCCTGAATAACATACATGTGTTCTTACTAACCCCGGTCTTTCCACTGACTATTCATATTGCCGAGTATGATATGCATTAATGTAAAAATATCTGTATAATTAGTCGTCATACTCATTCTAGAAAGATCCAAATCTCTTTGCTTCCATGTTGAAATATTTAATGTGTGATGTATCGTGAGATTTAGGTTGAATGAAATTTATGTTGACTCCGATCGTGGAGATAACCAACTTAATGAACATGAACGTAATGAAAGTGAATCACAAGTCGTTCAGCTTTAGTTGTAAAGTGACAAACTGTTCGAATGAACGGTAGACAAAACCCTCACTTGCTTGTTATGACCTTACCAGCGACTGACTAATTGGCCATTACTTTTTGAGTAGGCCGGTAACCTTCTTTAATGTAAGCAAGGGGAATAAAACCTGTTAGTTGGGCAAATGTATGTTGCCTGCAGATAAGTATTTTTGAAAAAAAGAAATATTTTCTTGCCCTCTCGAAAAAAGAACATTGTTTTCTTTCATAATTACCTGGTTTAATATGATCAAGTTTTAGAAGCTTCATTTGACGTAAATGTCTTACCTGTTTTATTTAGATTCAGCCGATGACCCTTGCATGACTAACCCCTGCCAGAATGGCGAGCAGTGCATGCCGCAAGGCAACTCGTATGACTGTACGTGCCAAAATGGCGCCACGGGCAACAACTGTCAAAGTGAGTAACTTACATACCCTTCGGCCTCCTTCAACATTGTTGTATACAAATAAAAACGTTAAAAATGTATGCTTACGCCAATTAAGTATGTTTGGAATCCATGGGGGTGAAGCTGCTGCACATTCGTATAAGACCCGGGTCAGATTTTTCGGAATCCCGGTTCAATTTGACTTTGTAGTTTTCAGGGTCAGAATGACACATTTCCTTGTCAAAATTACACTTATTTGGAACATTGTCTGTGTCACTTTGACCCGAAAATCTTGACAGAAGTGTCATTTTGACCAAAACTGGGTCATTTTGAGTCTCTAAAGTATCGTGTCAAATACGATTCGGATTCCTGATCAACTTTGACCTTGGACTTTTAAGAATGTACTCTAACCATTCAGAGGACAAGTTTAAAAAGAAGTTAAAACCAAGATTTCAAACTTATTGAAGGTGAAATGTAATCGATTATGTTTTGGGGTGGTTTTTTTTCCTGCAGACGCTAATGCAAACACCACGACGATCAATGTTGTTGTTGTCATTGTCGTTGTCGTCGTCGTCTTGATCGTCCTGCTGGTCATTGTCGTGGTTTGCTTTGTCAAAAGGTCACGGCGCAATCGCAGAGCCAGCCGGCTGTCTGCAGTCGATAGAGGGCGTGGACAGGAGCTCATCCAAAAGGTGCTGGGTAGTGTCTAAAGACGTCTAATTTTGTTTTTATCTATCTTGTATTACATCCGAAAAAAAGTGATGAAAAAATCACTGGTAACTATGCAGTGTCTAAAATGCAGCTTCTAAATAATGACAGATTCTGTCTTTTAAGCCTGACGAGAAACTCAGACAATTTTTCAGAACGAATCAACGATCCCTTTTTTACTCTTTTGGGTCAAAATAACTCTTCTGTCAAGATTTCCGGGTCAAAATGTTGGAGTTTGAGGGGTGATGTGGTCCGATAGTTACGGTGTTCGACTCGTGTGTTGTGGTACATGGGTTCGAATCCTCACGGGAACACGGTGCTTGTGCTCTCAGCTTGAGCAAGGCGCTTTACCGTTATTGCCTCGTCCTTCGGATGGGACGTGAAGCCGTTGGTCCCATGTGTTAAATAACCCACGTTAAATGAAGGGGTTTCTTGCAGTTGCTGCAATATGCCACACAGCATTTAACCCTTTTAAAGGTGCTACATAATGGGTCTCATATTTCTCATGAACTTTATTACCTGTCTTTAATAATAGTCATATTTACCAGCGCTTTGAGTACCTAATTGTTGGTAGATACCTTTGTAAATCTAGTCAGAATGTCGAGCAATATCTTATGTGATTATGCCAAAAGTTGTCACATTTTAAATCATCCTAATTATGCCTTGTCAAGACCAGTTTCCACTTTTTGAGAATGCACATGCCAGAGTTGAAATTGGTTCGACGCTTTGCGGACTCACAACGTAAGAACGTGCATGTCGTCAACAATTTCGCCCTAGAAAGTTCGATCTGACCTTGTTATTAACTCGGAAACTGTTAAAGCACAATGGCCCTTCCATTTTGACGATTTTTTTACCGTCTTGCAGAAATTGTCGAATGTTTATTTGATTGACACTCTCCAAGCATCGACATCGGAATTAAATGGACCGGCCAAGGAGTTCCCGCGGGACAAACTGCACATCCTCGGCCAGTTAGGCAGCGGCTCGTTTGCTGTGGTCTACAAGGCCGAGGCAGAGGGAATCATCCGTAGGGGAACCAATACGACGGTGGCCGTGAAGATGTTGAAAGGTACGGCATTTTCATAGGCCTAAAGTACTACACAGATTTGTAGTTATTGGAGGGACTTTGATAGTCTTTCATTGACTAATGAGATAACGACATTTGAACAGGTGACCACTGTGCAATATAGCGGGGTCAACTTTCAGTCACAAGCACTGTGAAGAGTGTACGCGAATCGAAGGTGGACGGAGCGGGGGTGGAATATTGCAATATCCGGAACGGTCCATTCAAGTCAAAGCAAGCTCGTCGACGATGGTTGGACAAATTTAGTCCACTTTACGCTGAAAAAGTGCGACGTCACCTCCCCCCCCCCCATTGGCAAAGTTAGGACAATGTTCACGTACGCTTAACATATGTGGCGATCACAGACTGCATTTTTTTACTGTTTACTTTCATAGAACAGTTTCACAAATTCGCGGGTACTCTACCCGAAAATGATTCACTGCCTTTCAGTAGATTATCACCAAACCAGTCACACCCACAGTGTAACAAAATTGCACCTCAAACAATCTTTTTTTCTTCATTTTGCTGACACAAAAATACTTGTTCCTCTACCGTTTAGAATGTGCTACACCCAACGATCAGAGTGATTTCAAGAAAGAGTTGCGACTGTATTCCATGTTGGACCGACATCCCAATGTCCTGTCTATGCTCGGATACTGCACTGATAAAGGTACAATTCGAATAATGTACCAAAAAGTTGCATCTCCAATTTGATGAGTTTCGATAAGTTTTGAAAATTAAAACAATACAGGTATAAACCTGACTGCAATTATGTCTTAAAGTGGCCGACCTAGTGAGTGAGTGTACATCAGGGTGAGTCAAAAGAAAAGGAAACGCAAAAAGGTGCCCCCTATTTCTGAAGAAGTTCTGCATCTAGCGCTTTCCAGATCTAGAATATGAAAGCCTCACAAATAAACTTTCTTTTCGTGAAAATAAATCATTAAAATCGCTCATGTATACTTTTACAGTTTTGGAATTTGGAACACAAACACCGCTTTTAACCTTGTCCACGGATCTCTTTGAAGGTATGCGTGATATTCCAGTCAAAATGAAACCAGTCGTATCCTAAAATGCCATTAAAATCCCATAAGTCTCTGTGGTAGCCAAGTAGAAGGCAGGACAAGACTATATAAAGCGTGTTAAGACATTATAAAGCGTGTTGCTTTTACATTGGAAGCAGCAGGTGTTTCTGAAATTAACGTCATGATAAGTGCGTGCCAGTTATCATGGCTATGAGAGTGTTCTGATGTGTTTTTGATATGTGAAAAGTTTTGTTTTGCTGAAATATTACTTCCTTCGTTACTGATTCTTTCAAAAAACAATTGGAACACCCGTTTGGGTTCCCTTTTTTTTGAATCACCCTTTATTATACCCACAAAGTTAAAGTGAACTTGCCTTGACTGCCATGCTAGGCGTCTTATTTTGTGCATACTATCTGAATCAAGCTGTGAGCAGTGGCGTAGCCAGGAATTTTCAGTGGGGGGGGGGGGCGCTGAGGGGGGCTGGAACATTTCATGGGGGGGCGTCAAGCAGGGGCGTCAATTGCTTCTCAAAAGTGGGGGGGGGACATACCTTAATCATAACTGATGCAAGCGCGAAGCCCTTACGGCGTGGGGTTCGGGGCCCGCTTAAGGGCCCCGAAAAAAATTGGATTCTAGATGTTCTGTGGTGTGATTTGAAGCAATTTCTTACGACTTTCCTCCATGCTTTAACTAATATTTTCTTGGCAAATGATAATTATTTGAACATCGTTTTCGAGGTTGGAGACATTGAATCAGAAATCGGTATTCTGAGCTATTGGCGTGGGGTTCAGGGCCCGCTTAAGGGCCACGCAAAAAAATGGATTTTCGATGCTCTGTGGTGTGATCTGCGGCAATTTCTTTCCACTTTAACCAATAATTTCTTAGCACAAAAGATAAGAATTTAAACATTATTTTCGAGGTTTTCTCAGCTAAAGACATAAGAAAATTTTTTGAACATTGTTTTCGAGGTTGGAGTCATTGAATCAGCTACCAGAATTCTGAGCTATAGGCGTGGGGTTCGGGGCCCGCTTAAGGGCCACGCAAAAAAATGGATTTTCGATGCTCTGTGGTGTTATCTGAGGCAATTTCTTACTACTTTAACCAATAGTTTCTTAGCACAAAAGATAATAATTTAAACATTATTTTCGAGGTTTTCTCAGCTAAAGGCATAAAAAAATTTTGTGAACATTGTTTTCGAGGTTGGAGTCATTGAATCAGCTACCAGAATTCTGAGCTATAGGCGTGGGGTTCGGGGCCCGCTTAAGGGCCCCGAAAAATTTTGGATTATAAATGCTCTGTGGTGCTATCTGAGGCAATTTCTGACCACTTTAACCAATATTTTCTAAGCAAAAGATACATTGTAGTACATAATAGGGCTCATGGCGTCATGTAGATCAATGATAATTTTTTTAGAAACTCAAAATCTCAGTGGGGGGGGCGACTAGGGGGGGGCGACAAGGTTTCATTGGGGGCGGTCGCCCCCCCCCACGCCCCCCCCCCCCCGGTGGCTACGCCACTGGCTGTGAGTGAGAGCGGTTTTGACAACTCTTCGTCTATTCCTGCGAATTCACCAAAGGTGTAGCGCCCTCAGGTGGCATACATGCAGACGAGAGGATTTCTACTTTTAACTAATTGTTGATGTCTTTCCCTTCAGACCCGATGTACATAATCCTGGAGTACGTTCCCCATGGAGACCTGCAAACCTACCTGCGACACATTCGGACGGGCACCGAACCCTTCTACCTGAAGAAAGAAGAGTTCAAGGAGAAGAAGGACCTGACACCGACTGAGATCCTGACTTTCGCATCTCAGGTGGTCAGGGGGATGGAGTACCTAGCATCGAAACAGGTGAGATCGCATGTAGATGTAAGGTCAATGGAGATAAATCAGTGGACAATGCGTCACTTTCAGTGTGCCTCGTTACCAAGATGCAGGATTAGTAGTTGTGCGTCCAGCTGGAGCTTTTGTGTGTAGTTAGTCATTAAGGATTATTAATCTACCAAGCAAATGCAAATTGAAAAACAACACTCACAAACATCTCAACCTTAACAGACAACCCAACCCCCCCCCCCCCCCCCAAAAAAAAAAAAACAGCTTGCTTACCATACAAAAAGGCCGGTTATCAACTTAAACGCCTTGTTAATTATTTTCAACTTGTTCTCAACTAATTATTTCTCACCACTTATTTTTTTTTTCCAATTTCTATCATCCCCTTAGCATGATTTTGCTCTGGACGGGTCCCCTTCAGCACAAATTCACTCTCATTCTGATTGCTCTACAAACCAAACTTGTAACAATGCCTCTGTAGCATTAAGTACTGGTACTGATTTTAAAAGTTTGTCATTTTTTTGCCATATCACACAGACTCCACATTAATTCTTTCCCACACATTATCTTGAGTCCGTAGTCTGATGTAGTTTATTAACTTGTCTTCTCACAGTGTATCCACAGGGACTTGGCGACCCGCAACATCCTCCTTGGCGAGGGACTGATATGCAAGGTGTCCGACTTCGGACTGGCTCGAGACGTGGCCGAGAAAAGCCAATACGAAATGCAATCGCAGGTATACAACATAATTATCATTTAGTACACGCACTTTAGAGGCCACCCTCTGGTGGCTGGATCTTACTAGGAATCAGGTTATCGCCTTGCAGCTTTCCATTGATACATCCAGAAATATTTAGAAAAAGAGAGGTTCTATTTCACATTTGTGCGACCATCACTACTGCTTGGAGTCCATACAGAGTGAACCACATATCATCTCTTGAGAAGTTAGATTTTGTTTGCAGTGACTATACTCAAGAAACAGTAGTGTGATTAACATGCTGACAACCTTGAATTGAAACTCCCTCGATCCAAGTGAGACGTGATAACCACCAGATTACAAACCTATTTAAAATCACTCGTCGCATCATCACAATAGATCCTAGTCACATCGTAGCGAAACCGAAAACTATAGGAGGCCAGGGAGGAGGGGCAACAACAAACAATTTGAGAGAAAACATAAGATCATAAACATCAGCACTTGAACACTCGTTCTTTCCGACCATCAAGGTATGGAAGATCTTCATCAGACTGTTGTTTATTCGTACTCATCAGGGCAGGGTACCAGTTCGTTGGATGGCTCCTGAGTCACTGCTTACTAATATGTACACGATCAAGAGTGACGTATGGTCTTTTGGTGTTCTTCTGTGGGAACTGGTTACGTTAGGTGAGTCGGAATCTCCGTTAATTTTTAGAAGTGTATTTGGGAGGCTCCTTTCTCATGTCTTGATACCGCTGTCATTATGACATTAGGACTGCTATGAAATCCTGTCTGTTTACCTTAAATGAACTAGAACCGTCGCATGTGACTTACCACTGTCATTATCATGTTCACTTACGCATAAGCAGTACGACAAATAAGTTCGTATTTTAGGAGTCTAAATTGTTCACTTAACCGCACCCAACAAATGGCCCAATGTGGGCGTCCTCAATGAGTGACTAGATTTTAGGGGTATAAACAGTATAGGTCTGTTAATCACGTATTTAACTGAAGCACATTTTCAGATAGTAACTCAATGCCATTTTGAAAATTTATGGTTATAAAACGGTATCTTTGATTATAGCAAAACGCAAACTGACGTCACGTTACCTTAAATTCACGACTACTTATGTATCACCTTTTCATCAGGATCGCATCCATACCCCGGCATGTCATCGCAAAAGGTCATCGATGAAATAAAGCAGGGCTACCGACTACCCAAACCAGAGCATTGTAGCGACGACATGTAAGTCTAAAGGGGTCGATCTGGGTCAGTAACTCTTTAATTATCTGCAATTGGTTGCCATTTTTTGTAGCTATTAAAAATACTCAGAGCAAGGCACTTTGCGCCATATATTGCTTCTTGCCACTGCAGTTTCTAAAAACTTCACTGGCTTCCATCAATTAACGTCCGGACCGTGCTCAAGACAACACTCAACATGAACAAAACCGTGCCCAACAAGTTCCCATACATTTCCGATGTTGTGGGCTTCAGCAAACCTGAACGGCAAGGTCTCCCCTGGAAAGTCAATTTGCTCATCCCTCGCACCACCACGAATAAAGGGAACCGTGCCTTCTGAGTTGCTGGGCCAAAAACATGGAACTCTATCCCCATCACCATCGGGGATACATCACCTCTTGAACAGTTCAAGGGACTCGTAAAGAACACATTTGTTTTGATTTTATTTGTTTCCAATCTTTTTGAATTGTTTACAGCGTTTTGAATCCTTTCATTGGCAAAGACGCTTTGTAAATGCCTGTTATTATAATCATTATCGCCAGCATGGAGTTGGTATTAATCGTATATAGCATATTATTGTATCTGATTAAATGCAATTTTGTGGCATTTGCAGGCCAGTGCACAGACAGGAAGGAATTTGCGGAGAAAAATTGTGTTGAACTTTTTTAGTAAAAATGATAGTTCTTAGAGGATTGAAGGCTGGTTTGTAGATTTTTCGGTCTCTATGCTCCAATTATCATCAGAAACAGGACCAACCATTCGATGACAGTCAGTATATCGACCCAAAACAAAATCGAGATTTCACCTCAGGTTTTTACTCCAGAGCCAACAATTGATCTTTCCCCAAAAGTGTTTCCATCTTCCGTTTCCGCTAGTATATCGTTATAATCAGGGATCAATTTCCATGTCTGTATACATGTATACAACGACATACATTTGACATTTACCCCATTTCTATTGCAGATACCAGATAATGATGGACTGCTGGCAGGAGAAACCTGAAGACAGGCCGGATTTCGCTGGTCTTCACACCACCATAGACGACATCCTTGCAGATGCAGCGGTGGGTATTCACTTTCCAAGCAGGTGTACTGATCACCTGTCATTCTATTTCTCATATTTTCTGCCATAGCAATTCTGTCGCTCTGTACAACCCTGATCGCACTCAGGAAAGTCATTCCAGTTACCGATCATGTTGCCACTTTCCATCTTTTCATCTTGATCGACACTCTGCAGTGATTTATTAAAGTTTGGGCTTACTTCGTTGTTTATATGCAGTCCGAAAAACACAAAAACAATTGGAAAGGCATGTGACTATATGTGAACTGGTCGTTATTCACGCTCAAATTGGAAGCAAATCAACTTATTTACTGTAAAGGTGCTGATTAAGTTGCACAAAGCAACATTAAAGGCATATAGGATAATTTGCGTTTATCCTAAAAGTAACTTACCGATGTATTATCCAAAACCTTACTTGGATCAAAGTTCGTTGTGGTACTAAACAATGACACAAACAATGTTTCTTTTGGGCAATCCTTCGGGAGCTGAATGGATTTTGATTTTGAATGTTATTTAATGGAATGGACTAAATCTTGTTTCTTGATAAAAAAAAATGTGCACGATGTTTCGCTCTTTTGAAAAGTGTAATATCCACTGAGCCGAAACTGCCTTTAACTGTGGTTTGCTTTTCTTGTGTTTACTACTTATATTTCGCTCATCAACAGGGCTATCTCGAGATGGGAAATCTTAACCCGGACGATTACGTGTACTTGAAATCTGGCCAAAGTTCGACCAGCATCACTCACTCACCCACTCGTTCGCCCACAGGCAGCATCGAGTCGGGCTGAGTAATCGCGTACATTCACTACACGCGTCACGGCTGTGAAAAAGATGGCCGGTGCAGAGTGAAATGCCCTAGGGCAAGTTCGAGTGAAAATTTTCGTTTGCCATATCAGTTGAACTTCTGGAGCTATTGACAACCCGACCCCGGAGCTTATTCTCGCGCTAGTTCTGATTTCACCAACGACGTGGCGCCCTTAGGTGGCATGCATCTGTCAAGTTGCAGTACCAGATAAATTGCAGAGTGTATTAAGTGAAATTTAAGCTTCAGAAAACAATTTTTAGGAAGAGAGAAGCTCAAAATGGATTGCCCCCAAAACGTGTGTTTGTGGTGGCTCCACTTCTGGAAAACACTAAAAATCTATGTAATTATGTCTTTGTGAAGTTTCCTGTTGAGAAAAGTGGGAACAACCGTTTTCACTGCAGGCATGATGAGCCCCCCCCCCTTTTTAAGTGGCTGTCACGCCCCTAAAACGGTGGATTTGCGATGGCTTCACATCTGAAACATTTTTTTTTGCATGAATATGATCATCTGTTCAAAGTTTCACGCTCTAATGAAAAATTGCACAATTCATCGATATTTTGTCACACAGAGTCCGCTGGACTGTTAGCAGAGCACTTTTTATTTATATTAGCTTCGAAATGCTTACTTTCCTTGGTGGTTATTCTTTTTAATCGGTAATTGAGTGGCTGCATTTGAAATGGGATGTATACAACATATCATGAAATCATTTGTAAATGGTATTTTTTTTTGTCATTCGTGTTATGAACTAAATGTGGTAAGGTATAACAATACCTAATTCTACGTTCATCGACTGAATGTAGTTTAGAATTTACCCAGGCACGGTATATAATCTGACTGCTAAATTGGTTTTGTTAATAATCTTGTACATGTGCAAACGTACAAATTTAGTGTCAATTTCATGTTGAAAATAAATATTTTTATTTTTATTGCCTTGAAAAGTATAGTTTAACTGGATGTCTCACAACTTTATATGCACAGAACTCGGAAATTGTTGAAGTATATTATGTCTACAAGAAATTGTCAACTAGCTGTTTATAAAATTTACACTTGTTAAACATTTTTTTAATTCTCTACAAATACAAAAACTGTACTATATACTTAAAAGTGAGAAAGCATTGTTCATGTTCAACGTGTACATAATTCCATTCAGTGCTACTCCAGTTTTAGCTGGATGCCTCGACCAGAACCCAATGTCACTGACGTGATTACCGAAAAGACTGAACATATCGGTCAAGTGAGAACCAGGCAATAGCAATTATAACATTTGTTTCAGCATTTACTGCACACCATATGTGGAAAGGAGCCTTATTAATAGTCGTGAGGCTTGACAAGATTGACAGATAATGCAAACACCATGTGTTACAGCTTTGAAAAATGGAAATACTTTCACTTTTTAATGAAAAACACTGAACACGTCGACATGATTTTTGATTTGAATGTGGCATGAAGATACGGTCTTCAAAAATTTAGTTTCTATGCTAATAAAAAATTCCATATTTATGAGCAAAAGTGTGATGTCATTTCAAGGCAGAAACCTCAATGTTACATTTGTAAGGTTAAAAGATTCTCGATTTTTTTTTATTTTGCTGACCTAGATGATTTTTTTTGTAGTGATAAATTGTGGTGTGTGCACGGCAGAAAACCAATGAGAACTATTTTTTTGCAAAGAGCGCACGTTTGAATTCCAAACATTAACAGTGTCTTCCTGAAACGACACCACAACAACAGCGAACCTACTTGTCCGGAAACGTGCACTTTTCAACTAACAAATTAACAAAGGAACGTCAAATAGTTTTTATACTTATGAGAGGAGCAGAAAGTTGCACAAAATATATCGCTAAGAAACACGCATTTCATGAACTCTGAAGTCCAAAATGGTACCTTTTCTATTTATATGTGCGTTATATCGTCGGATGCGTACCTATATGTTCCCCAGTCCCTTTATTTCCCAGTCCTTACCATAACCCTACCTTAACCCTAACCCTTACCCTAAACCCTTACCCTAACATTTGGGAACATATATAGGGACTGACTGGGGAACATCGGGTGGATCCCATATCGTCACTGGATTCTTGAAGGGACTGGCATGTCAATTCGGACGACACGTTTCGAGATAATCGCAAGAGAAACTTTCTTATTTTATAATTTCAAAATGCACCACAAGTCATCTACTCTATGCAGTATATACAACGCCCACGTGATTCGTAGATAGCTTAACTTTCTAGTCAACCCAGTAATAATCATCAAAGGTGTCAACAACGGAAATCTCACCAATTTTACGTTTACGCCTTTTCGAACAATATGTTTTGTGCACAGCGAGTAAGCGTATCTTCGTGAATATGCAATAATGTCTGCCCCTCACAACATTCATGTTTATAGCTCCATGATGTTATTAAGACATCACGTAATGTCTGCTTCGAAACCAAGTCAGAGTGGTTGAGAGCGATGTTTAAAGCCAAAAAGGGTCATTTTTATATGCCTGTCCCTTCGTGAAACGGTAACGATATGGTTTCTGAGTAAATGTACGCAAACTGCGAATTCCTTTTTCAAATGCAAATAATAAACGGCGCTTGTACACTCGCACCACCTGGCGGGTCCGTCATTTTCGTTTTCTGATTGGCCAGGCAGTTCATGGCGGCGTTATCTACTCCACAAACAGCTGTTGTTGCCTGTCCTGGGTTTTCCCAGGATGAGAATGGATGAGAAATTAAATTTGAAATTAGGACAGGCCACACCCGCGGCGCCTTTTGCGCGCTAAACAAGAGGCAGTTGTGTTCAGGCCTTGCAACGGACAGGAAATTCAGAAAACTGTTCTCAAAATCGCTCACTGATTAAGACTCGCCGGAGCTTTTATTGGTATCCATTCGTCATCATGGGTAAGTACATTTGTTTCTTAACCATACCAAGACAGGTCCATGACTGTACATCATTATGATAGGAGTACCAGTACATTAAAGTGCCGCTCCTTTAGCAGACGATGGTGGTGGACAACTGTACTGTACAAACGTTGGGTAACATACTGTTGGGCAATGTTATTTACCCGACATTGGTGTGAAATAACTCATATATGGTAAAAAGTGTCAAACTATTGGGAAGAATTTGCCCAAGAGTGTAGGCAGTTGATTATTCGACCAGCACTGGTCGAATTATCAACCCATTTAGCCCAACTTTTTTACACGTGGGGGGGATCCTGGACACACCTCCCAAAGGCTGTGCACCATTGCAATGTTATGAAAACAAACCCAAACGTTTTATGAAACACTTTGAATGCTTGGAAATGAATCTCAAATTAACCTGGATTTTGAAGTCAGTGTGTGGCTCTTTTAGTGAAGCTAAAAAAATTCTGGGATCATGCAGTACGTTGTTAAAAAAACAATAAACATTTGGTACATAAAAAAACACGAAACCGAGATATTATTGCTAATTGGAACAGAAGTAGGGCACATGTGAATCAAAGGGAGATATCCTCTGTTGGGGTTGAATCTCGTCTTTAAAATGACACCCTGATCATGTCCTTACATTTACGGTTGACTGAGCAGTGACCAATTTTATGAAAGGGTCTATTTAGAGACGTGCGCCACTTTTCATGGTGAAATCTCTTTTTCCCCACCTGCCTTAATTGGCAACCGTAGCCTTTCACTCTGTGACAATTGACACAACAAAAACCACAATTGAAAGGTGGCGCAAATCTCTAAATAGACCCTTTTATAAAATTGTAATGACATGACCAGTGTGTCATTTTAAAGAGGAGATTCAACCCTAACAGAAGATATCTCCCCTTGATTCATGTACCCTACTTCTGTTCCAATTAGCAACAATATTTCGGTTTCGTTTTTTTGATCCGCCCTGTATAGAAAAAATCACATTAGCCTGTGAAAAGTATAGGTTCTAATCTTGAAGAGCGATGTTTGTGATTTTAATAGGTTCATTTTTTTCGCGTATTAATTACTCAATACCTCTTTCAAAAATATTTAACATTGTTTACAGAAGACAGACATTTCTAGCAAATATTTTAAATGAAACATTGAAAAAAGCAATGAAAAACATGACAATGGCTGTAAAATTCGTTCTTACTTTGACATCTTTGGCTACAAAATAGGTGCGTTTTTCTATAGTGAAAAGTGCCACTGTCGTGGAATGCGAAGGCAAACAAAAAGAGGCATTAACACCCATACTTATGACTCTAAAGACAGTAAATAGTATCTGTTTTCCCTGTCCCAATGTGCTGTACAAAGGCCAGATTGCGTGATGAACAGAAGTACATTAGATAAATAATTGGAGAGTGTGTAATACTTTCAACCAACCAACGTTTTTTTCAATAGGGTTGAATTACATCGTTTTGTTCCTATTCTTGCAGAGGGAAAACTGTTCACTTGTCTGCTGGTTGTTTGCGCAGCTGCCAATGGTATGTTTATTTGTATTGTTTGTTTAGTTGTGTTGTTAATCTATAGTGCAATTCTATGGCAATGTCAGTAGGTGTATCTGCAATTTTGAAGAAAAAAACTGATTGGAAAATTCAAGGTCTTCTTTTTTTATTTCACAGTTTAGTGAACCGATGGATGTTGATGGACCTGTTAAAGGTGTTCAACTAATATTCAGTATTCCAGTTTTTGTTATCGCGATCTTTGAATTTGTTCAAGGTAGTTTAAAACAGTTCTCTATCACTAGATCTGTTTCTGTCCCCTAAACAAAACAAAACATTCAGAGGGTTGCATACGTAGAAAGGGGAGGGGGGATTCTTGCTTCATGAATTAAAGTGCATACAAGTTGAAAAGAGCACGGGGAACGGATCCTTAACCCTTAAAAGGCCGGGTTATTTTGACCATCTCTCAGCCGGGATTCCGCCCCCCCCCCCCCAAGATCAAGGCCATCGAGTGACGACAAATTTTGAAACTCAGTACATTCATAGAGCAATTCATCATAAGCATACCCAAGAAATTTAATGACTATAGGTCAAAGGGTTTTGGAATTATGGCTAATTAATTATCAATATGTACGAATGGTAATTCTGCTCTGTGTACATGACGTATATGGAAAAATTCAGCTTTCACGGCGCGTAGCACCGGAAAATTGATTTGTATGTTGTTGGTATCTGGCTTTATAACAGCCTGGGTGGCGAACAATTTTTTTTTAAGGCTATCGCGGAAACAGTTGAAGGGGGGGGGGGGCGGATTCCGCCCCGGCCCAGAGTAACCCATACAGTTAATCCATTTTTTTTCACCCATTGAAAGCAGCTGTTGCTCTCAAATGCTACGTGTGTGGAGACGATGGGATCTGCCATGACGGCGAGATTGGCCAACTTCAGACTTGCCCGAATACCACTGGCTTCGTGAGCGATCAGTGCTTCAAATTCGACGGGGAATACTTCGGATCTGATGCAGGTGGTTTATCATAATTGGCTTCTTTCGACACATTGATAGGCCATTATTTTTCTGCAAATGAGGATATTTCAGCTGCAATTTTCGGGGTATAGACAGTAGAAACATGCATCTCGTTTATGGTGGTTTAGTAACTTTATTACAAAATTAACAAGTGCGAGTGCACAACAAGTTCTGGCCGTGAAAGTCTTGCATGAATGAACTCTACCAAAATAATCCCTGCCAGAGCTTAAAAATGCGACGCCCAAAATGTGGCGCCGATAGCACATTTAGAACACCATACTTTAGATAAATATTAGTACAGCACATATTTTGCCTCCATTTACAACTTTTCACGAACATCCGAATTTTTACAAACAGTTTTTGTGAAGTATTTCATTTATTTCGTTTTTTGTTTTTGAAAATTTAAATTTGGAAGTTACATTTTGTGGGAAACTTAAGGGGCTGATTTTGGTCAATTAAGTTGGTAAGTTTTCATGGACAGACCGACCGACCACCAAGTAACATGTTCCAAGAGCTTAGAAATAGGTGGGAAATTAGCAGAAAGATTAACACCAGGCCCTGTTATGTAAACGTTTGTACCAACTGATTTGCCATTTGATCACGGTAAGAGCGCCCTCAACCTTTCTTCTGGAAATAAATGTAACATTATGTAATGTATTATTTTGAAAAAAATATTTATTTCAGGAACCCGATTCTCTTTCAAGGGAGTCGCTCGCACTTGCCACCGCCTTTCGGCAAACGGCGAGGCTCCGCCCCTCCAGTGCTTCTCTGACTCCGACGCCATTCCTTACCTTTCACCCCGATCGATGAATAATGAAGTAGATATCACAGTCAAGGGCGACCTCTGCTACTGCGCAGACGACGGCTGCAACGGCGTAGACTCCCTCAAGCCGTTCCTCTTGCTGATCCTCACCGTGGGCATGATGCACTTGCTGCTGATGTAAAAGAAAGCTGGTGTGTAAGACCACCAGTGGTGGAACTACGCATGGCACCTACAGGTTTTAGCTTAAGATTGATTAAAATCAGCGGTAGAGACCCATTGGTGAATAGTTAGACT